CTTCCCTTGGATTCCTAACACAGCCTGTGCTGGGATAGGGCCCACGTCTTAGAGAAACACCCTCAGAGGGCTGTGTGCTGATATTTACTCCTGCTTACTTACCAGGGCAGGGCATGCATGAGAGGGGGCAGTACTGCCATTGATGTTATTTATTTTCCAACAGCGCGAACTTTCAAAGGCTTCCAAATCTGATGCTGCTTCCCGAATCCTCAATTCAACCAACATCCAGTCCTGAGAAGCCCTGATCAGTCACCCCTCTGAAGTTTTCTGTGCCTAATTATACAGGGTGGCTTTAATATTTCTTCAGTTTAGATGCTTGAAAGCCTGGACACGTTCCATTACCATGAGTCTAACTTAGAGAAGTGCGTGAGTTACAGATGAAAATCTATCATAAGCTTAGTGTGTCCTCAGACATTGGTTTTATTTTGACTCAAGAAATACATTAAAACTTAGTTCATAGCAATGTGTAAATTTTAGCATATGGAACTTAATTTCTTTTCCTGCCCTATAACTGTACTTGCTGAAGCATGATCAAGGGCTTGTTATACTTCACCTTTATGTAGGAAAATGACTGTGTCCATCCTTGGGGTATGGGACATGAAGCAGTTTTCTGTCTGTACACTTATAATTAGCAACTAACATCTTTTTTGTTTAGGGATGTTCAGTTAATGCTACAGCTTCAGTAACTTTGCTCTCACCTAAAGGCCTGTCCCCACCACACAGGACAGCCTTCCTCCTGATGAAGATGTCTGTGTGTCAGAAGTTGGGATGGCCTGACTCACTGCCAAAGAGGTGACAGGGAGGCTGGGAGCGCCTTTGTTCAACTGTGTACAGTTTTGTCATGTGGGGTGATGCTTTGGTTGGGGGGGTGTGTATGAACACACGTGCTTGTCTGAACTCTACTCTCTGGGTCCAGCTCCCCTATCCCAGCGCCCCGGTGCCCTAGTTCCTCCACCCTCTGCACTTGGTAGCCAAGTAGGGAGGCTGTTTGGTGGGCTGGGCCATTCCTGCTCCTGTTGTGGAGACCTGGAACTTTGCACATGTCAGTACTGGGGAGTTGTTCCTACCGTAACGTCCACGATGAGGCTCCTTTACCTACCCTATCGATCACTACTGCGCTCCCCGAAGCACTATTATTTATTCTCCCTCTGCCTGCACCCCTACTACTGTCAGCACAGTAAATGGTTCTTGGAAGCTTACAGGTGTGGATTTGGTCTGCTAGTCATGCATATACATGTACTGATTTTAAAATATATTAAATTAAAATGTATACTTATATTTCAGAAACATATATTGTAGTGGTGTTTTCATTGTTTCCCAATCACTTTTTGGTTGGTTTTTGTCTGAAAAACAGGACTAAAAGAACATACAAGAAATTTTTAGTCAGGAGCATGATTTTTACTTTGAGTGCTTCTAAATTAAGAACATCTCTTGTCCTGAGAAAAAGTTTTCTGAGAGAAATAAAAAGCCTGACTCCCAACTTTTCATTGCTAGTCTCTGTGTACAGCTCTATTTTCTTTTGGGTAAACACCTAGGATGAAATGGCTGGACCATACATATGGTAGGTGTATGTTTTAACTTTTTAAGAAACTGCCAGTCTGATTTCCAAAGTGGATGGCTTATTTTACACTCTCATGATGTATTAAGGTTCCAGTTTCTTCATATCTTCTGCAACACTTGGTATGGTCAGTCTTTATGATTTTAGCCATTTTAGTAGCTGTGAAATAGTATCTCAATGTGGTTGTAATTTGTATTTTCCTAATGATGGTGTTTAACTTTTTAAATTCTGTTTAACATCTTTTCACGTGCTTCTCTGCCATCATTCTTCTCTGGGGAAGTACCTGTTGAGTTCATTCTTTTTCATACAGTACCCAGTTGTCCAGCACCATTAACTAAAAAGCTAAACTTCCTCCTGTAAGTTTCTGTTCCACTCATCTGTCTGTCCTAATGACAGTACTACTGTTTTAATTACGAGGATCTACATGAATTCTTAAAATCAGGTAATGTTAACTTTCCAACTTTGTGCTTTTAAACATCATTTTGAGCCCATTATACAGAGCGAAGTAAGCCAGAAAGATAAAGACCATTACAGTATACTAACACATATATATGGAATTTAGAAAGATGGTAACGATAACCCTATGTGCAAAACAGAAAAAGAGACTCCTATGTATAGAACAGACTTGTGGACTCTGGGAGAAGGCGAGGGTGGGATGTTTCAAGAGAACAGCATTGAAACACGTATATTATCTAGGGTGAAACAGTTCACCAGCCCAGGTTGGGTGCATGAGACAAGTGCTCGGGCCTGGTGCACTGGGAAGACCCAGAGGGATTGGGTGGAGAGGGAGGTGGGAGGGGGGACCGGGATGGGGAATACATGTAAAAAATAAATAAATAAATAAAAGAAATTGTACTTAAAAAAAAAAAAATTTAAAAAATTAAAAAAAAAAAATAAAATAAAATGTTTTCACACGTTTAATACTAAAAAAAAAAAATAAAAAAATAAACATCATTTTGTCTGTTACAGGTCCTTTGCATTTTTCTATGAGTTTTAGGGGAAAAAGCTTGTCAATTTCTACAGAAAAATCTCGTAGAATTTTTATTGGCGTCACATTGAACCTGTAGACCAACTGGGGGAGAACTAACAACCCACAAACAAGGCATCTCTCTCCATTTATTTCGGTTTTCTTCTCAGCAGTATTTAATAGGTCATGTGTACAAATATTTCACATCTTTGTCAGCTTTATCCCTAAGTATTTCATATCTTGATGCTACTGTAAATGGTATCTTTTAATTAGAGTTTCTGGTTATTACTTGGCTACATAAATATATATAGTTGATTTCTGTATATTGCTCTTGTATCCTACAACTTGCTAAACTCACTAAAGGAAAAATGAGGGAAAAAAATAAATATTCATTGTATTGGAGCAAGTCTTTAATGCTTAGCCAGGCCATTCTGACCTAGAGAATTCCATGGTCTATAGAGTCCATGGGGTCAGAGTCGGACACAATTGAGCGACTTTCACTTTTAGGCCATAAACAACTGTGCCTTAGCCTTCGGTTCTTGTTTGTGGAGCCTGAGTCCTAGGCAGAAATGAAAACTCAAGTGTTTTCTCAGGCATTTTTGAGCAAATATCCAACCCTGAGCATGTGTTATGCTTTAACTCCCCAACTGGTGATTTCAGTTGATGTAGAAAAAGAAAGATTCCACAACCTTTCATGATAAAAACACAATAAAATAGAAAAGGAGACTACTTCCACACAATAAAAGCCATATAAGACAAGCGCACAGTGAACATAATACTCTTAATACTCAATTACTTTTGCTTTAAGATCAGAACAAGGCAAGGATGCACACTTTCAACATTTTTAATCAACATAGAGCCATTAGGCTATAAAAGAAATAGGCATTCAAATTGGAAAGAAATAAAATTATGTTTGCAGGTGAGTGATCTTATATGTAAAAAATCTTAAAGACTACCAAAAAGCTGTTAGAATTAATAAATGACTTCAGCAAAGTAGCAGGATACAAAGTCAATACACAAAAATCAGTTGTATTTCTATACACAATAAACAATCTGAAAAGGAAATTACAAAAATGATTTCATTTATAATGGCATCAAAAAGACTAAAATACTTAGCAATTAACCAAGGAGGTTAATTGCAGAATTCCAAAGAATAGCAAGGAGAGATATAAAAAAGCCTTCCTCAGTGGTCAGTGCAAAGAAACAGGGGAAAACAGTAAAATGGGAAAGACTAGAGATCTCTTCAAGAAAATTAGAGATACCAAGGAAACATTTCATGCAGAGATGGGCTCAATGAAAGACAGAATGGTATGGACCTAACAGAAGCAGAAGATATTAAGAAGAGGTGGCAAAAATACACAGAAGAACTATACAAAGAAGAGCTTCATGACCTAGATAATCACGATGGTGTGATCACTCTCCTAAAGCCAGACATCCTAGAATGCAAAGTCAAGTGGGCCTTAGGAACTATCACTACAAACAAATCTAGTGGAGGTGATTAGAATTCCAGTTGAGCTATTTCAAATCCTAAAATATGATGCTGTGAAAGTACTGCACTCAATATGCCAGCAAATTTGGAAAACTGAGCAGTGGCCAGGACTGGAAAAATTCAGTTTTCATTCCAATCCCAAAGAAAGGCAATGCCAAAGAATGCTCAAACTACCACATAATTGCACTCATGTCACACGCTAGCAAAGTAATGCTCAACATTCTCCAAGTCAGGCTTCAACAGTGCATGAACCATGAACTTCCAGATGTTCAAGCTGGGTTTAGAAAAGGCAGAGGAACAAGAGATCAAATTTCCAACATCTGTTGGATCACTGAAAAAGCAAGAGAGTTCCAGAAAAACATCTGCTTCTGCTTTATTGACTATGCCAAAGCCTTTGACTGTGTCGATCACAATAAACTGTGGAAAATTCTTCAAGAGATTGGAATACAAGACCACCTTACCGGCCTCCTGAGAAATCTATATGCAGGTCAAGAAGCAACAGTTAGAACTGAACATGGAACAACAGACTAATTCCAAATTGGGAAAGGAGTATGTCAAAGCTGTATATTGTCACCCTGCTTATTTAACTATATGCAGAGTACATCATGAGAAATGCTGGACTGGATGAGCACAAGTTGGAATCAAGACTGCCAGGAGAAATATCAATAACCTCAGATATGCAGATGACACCACACTTATGGCAGAAAGCGAGAGCCTCTTGATGAAAGTGCAAGAGGAGAGTGAAAAAGTTGGCTTAAAACATTCAGAAAACTAAGATCATGGCATCTGGTCCCACCACTTCATGGCAAACAGATGGGAAAACAGTGACAGACTTTATTTTGGGGGCTCCAAAATCACTACAGATGGTGACTGCAGCCATGAAATTAAAAGACGCTTGCTCCTTGGAAAAAAAGCTATGGCCAACCTAGACAACATATTAAAAAGCAGAGATATTACCTTGCCAACAAAGGTCCGTCTAGTCAAAGCTATGGTTTTTCCGTAGTCAAATATGGATGTGAGAGTTGGACTGTAAAGAAAGATGAGCACTGAAGAATTGATGCTTTTGAACTGTGGTGTTGGAGAAGACTCTTGAGAGTCCCTTGGACTGCAAGGAGATCCATCCAGTTCATCCTAAAGGAAATCAGTCCTGAATATTCATTGGAAGGACTGATGCTGAAACGCCAATACTTTGGCCACCTGATGTGAAGAACTGACTCATTTGCAAAGACCCTGATGCTAGGAAAGATTGAAGGTGAGAGGAGAAGGGGACAACAGAGGATGAGATGGTTGGATGGCATCACCGACTCGATGGACATGAGTTTGAGCAGATTCCAGGAGTTGGTGATGGACAGGGAAGACTGGCATGCTGCAGTCCATAGTGTCACAAAGAATCGTAAACAACTGAGCAACTGAACTGAACTAACCAAGGAGGTGAAAGACATGTATGATGAAAACTATTAGGTTAGCCAAAAAGCACATTTGAGTTTTTCCATAATGTGTTACCAAAAAAACCAAACAAACTTTTTGGCCAACCCAGTGCAAAACACCGCTGAAAGAAGTTATAGACATAAATAGGGAGGGGGGATCGGGATGGGGAACACATGTAAATCCATGGCTGATTCATGTCAATGTATGGCAAAAACCACTACAATATTGTAAAGTAATTAGCCTCCAACTAATATAAATAAGTGAAAAAAAAAGTTATAGACATAAATAAATGGAAACACATCCCATGATCATGGATCAGAAGACTTAATATTGTTAAAATATCAGTAGCACCCAAAGCAATCTATAGATTCTAGCAATCCCTAAAATATCAAAAACCTTTATGTAGAAATAGAAAAGCCCTATAACTCATGGGATCTCAAGGAACCCCAAACAGGCAAAACAACTTTGAAAAAGAACAAAACTATAGGACTCACACATCCTAGGTTCAAAACCTACTGCTAAGTTATAGTAATCAAGCCAGTATTGACATAAAAAAGAGGGACATATGTCAAAAAAGTATTGACATAAAAAAAGAGATCAAAGGAACAGAATAGAAAGCCCAGAAATAAACCTTTGAATATATAAGCAGATGATTTATGACAAGGGTGCCAAGGCCATTCACTGGGGAATGGACAGTCTTTTCAACAAATGGTGCTGGGAAAACTGGATATCCACATAGAAAAGGATACAAAAATTTAACTCAAAATGGATCAAGGACCTAAATATAAGACCTAAAAAATTCTTATATAAACACAGGACAAAAGCTTCAAGACACTGAATTTGGCAATAATTTCTTAGACATGTCACCAAAGGCACAGGCAACAAAAGAAAATATAGACAAATTGGACTTCATGAAAATTAAAAGCAATGCAGAGGACACAGGTTTGATCCCTCGTCTGGGAACTAAGATCCCACATGTCACGGAGCAGCTAAGCCCATGTGTCATGACAACTGGAACCCATGCACCGAACTACTGAGCCCAAGAGCCACAACTAAGACCCAATGCAACGGAAAGACAAACATTTAAGCAAGAGAGACACTATCAACAGAGTGAAAAAGCAACCAACAGAATGGGAGAAAATACTTCCAAATCAGTCTGATGAGGGATTAATACCTAGAATATATAGAGAACTCCTAAAACACCACACACACAAAACCTGATTCAAAATGGGCAAAGGACTTGAATAGACATTTCTCCAAAAGAGATATGTAAATGGCCAATAAGCACATGAAAAGATACTTAACATCACTAATCTTTAGGGAAGTAGCAAATAAAAATTACAATGAGATAACCACTTTATACCCATTAGGATGGCTACTGTCAAAAAAGCAAAAAGGTGGACTTCCTTGGTGGTCCAGTAGTTGAGAATTCACCTACCAACGCAAGGGACACAGTTTGATCCCTGGTCTGGGAAGATTCCACATGTTGCAGAGCAACTAAGCCTGTGCACCACAACTGCTGAGCCCGACCTCTACGAGAGGAGCCATGGCAATAGAAGCCCACACACAACTAGGGAATACCCAAAGACAGCGATGCAGACCCAGCGCAGCCAAAAATACATAAAGAAGTGTTGGGCGAGGATAGAGTGAAATTGGAACCCTTGTGCACTATTTATTGGTGGGATTGTAAAATGTTAAAGCCACTGTGGAAAACAGTAATGTAGGCTCCTCAAAAACTTAAAAATGGAATTACCATATGACTCAGTGATTCCACTTTAGGGTATATATCCAAAAGAATTAAAGGCCAAGTCTTAAAGAGGAATTTGTAAATCCATGTTCACAGTAGCATCATTCACAACAGTTAAAATATGAAAGCCTCCCAAGTGTCCATCAACCAATGACTGGATAAACCAAACATGCCTATACATACAATGGAACATTATTAAGGCCTAGAAAGGAAGGAAATTGTGCAGTACGCCACAACATGGATGATCCCTAAGGGCATTATGCTAACTGATCATAAGCCAGTCACAAAAAGACAAACACTCTTATGATTCCACTTACATTAGGTAGAGCGGTCAAGATCACACAGAGAGACAAAAGGTATACTGACAGTTGTCAGGGGCTGGGGAGAACGCGGAGTCACTGACAGCTGTCGGGCTTCAGACTCACAGGATCAAGAGGTGGGACCGGGTGGTGGTGATGGCTGCACGGCAATCCGAGTGTCTTCGGCTCCACTGAACTGTACACTGAAAAATGTTAAGATAATAAATTTTTTGTTATGTGTATTTTAACTCAGTAAGAAAAAAGAAATTAGTATTAACAAGAGAATATATAAACTTGAGGTATAATTCATGTAATAGAATGGAAGTGAATAAACTGTAGGTCACCACAGATGAATCTTACAGGACTGATGAAAAAAGACATGAAAGAACATACACAGAAGGACTATTTACCTAAAGTTCAAAAGCAGACAAATTTTACTGTATAAAGAGGCATACATGGAATGGTAAGATTCAAAGTGAAAACAGGCCAGATGAGTAACAAAAGATGACCTCTAGCGGTTCCCAGTCTTAGCACTACCTCAAAAATCACCTGGGATGGGGCAGCTTGGCAAGAATACCGGAGCGTGTAGCCATTCCCTTCTCTAGGGAATCTTCCTGACTCAGGGAGGGGTTCGACCCAGGGAGAGATTCAACCCAGGTCTCCTGCATTGCAGGTGGATTCTTTACTGTCACAGTCACTAGGAAAGCCCTTCAAAAATCTACCCACATCTATGTTCCACACCCTTAAGTTCACGATTTCATCATGTCTAAGATGCTGGCCCTGGTTCAGCTGGTAAAGAATCTGCCTGAAATGTGGGAGACCTGGGTTCGATCTCTGGGTTGGGACGAGACCCTGGAGACAGGAAAGGCTACTCCAGTATTTCGGCCTAGAGAGTTCCATGGACTGTATAGTCCATGGGGTAGAAAGAGCCGGACATGACTGAGCGACTTTCACTTTCTCTTCATGATGCCATCTCTAGGCATCCAGTTACAAATCTCCAGGTGCTTCTCTGTTTTTTTCTGGGAGTATGGGGCACAGCGAACCCTGCAGCCTGTGGATCTTAGTTCTCCGACCAGGGATTGAATCTGCGCCCTCAGCAGTGAAAACGCAGAGTCCTAACCACTGGACCACCAGGGAGTTCCCTCCAGGTGTTTCTAATGGGGGGACAAAGTTGAAGATGCCACCTGCTCTAAGGTGGAGCAAGAGGGCTGTGAACGGGAGGGGCAAAGGTGAGGCCTCTAGGTGCTGGCAGTGGTTTTCCTTGCCCTGTGGGGAGTTTCACAGGTGTTGGCTTTATAATTTCCCACTCTACTGTTATTTTATACCCTTATCCATAGGTCAGCTCTTCTCTTTCTCCACAGCATACACGTAGGTGTTCCAGGGCCCACAGCTCACAGTTCTTACTTGGAGTTGCTTATCTACAAAGTACTCCACACGGCAGGGTCGGTCCAAAGTGGTTGTGTCCTTGTGGCCAAGCTGTCCATATTTACCTAAAGTGAAATGAACCCCTTTGCCATCCTCTGCTGGGCGCTGTGACTTCTCCCCTCCAGGAAGGAAAACTAGCCCATTGACTGAAGCGCTGGGCTTAGGCCACCACCCTGCTGGTGTCTGCTCCGTGAGTTCAGACCAGCACCACAGAGCCAGGCAAATCCTCCAGGCTCCCCACTCCCAAGCTCAGATGCTCAGAGATTTTCATTCTACCTTTTTCTCTTCCCAGGGCCAGACCAAAAGAGGTCTCAGAAATGCTGGCGAAATATTCCGTTGGGACACATACTTTTCAGAAAGGTAGACAGGAAATACTGATACTTCCTATTTCTCTGAGCTCTGCCCCTCTGAGTGTGCCTAGATCTGTCCCAGACAAGGAAACAGAGGGCTTTTCAGTCCAGCGGTCGTGCTGAGACCCTGCTTCCACTTCTCTTCGCAGCTGCTGTCACCTGCCCCCTACCCGCAGGTCTTTGCCTCCCCTTCATTTAAGCATCACAAAAGCAAACCCTTTACTTACCCCAGCCCCAGGTGTAGAGCTCCCCCGTTCCTGCAACCAAAAGGACAGTTAAAGGGGCTGTTGCCATGCTCTCTGACAGGGCATGCGCAAAGCTCAGCCTGCCACAACCCACAGCCAGCTCACTGTGCTCGTCGTCCGATTTGATTGGCGGAGCAACACATACTCTCTTCCTTTTTAACAAGTCTAGTCACATGTCAGGAAGATCCCGTGGAGAAGGGCATGGCAACCCCCTCCTCTGTCCAGAGAATCCCATGGACAGAGGAGCCTGGCAGGCTACATAGAGTCTCAGAGTTGCAGAGACTCGGACACAACTGAAGCGACTTAGCACGTGGCATGCACACTCACTAGTCACGTCTGGGGTGGTAAAGGATCCAGACTGAAAAAGTTCACCTTCCTATATGCCCAATGGCTCTGACTCACAGCTACTGAGTTTGTAGTCTCAGGAGCAGGGTTGGGCAGACCCTCATCTGATGCAAGGCTGGCAAACACTAGCCTCCCTCCGGAAGGAAGAACCTTCAGGGCCTGACAGGCTGGGTAGCCTCTGTGAAAGGCCCAAGGGAGTGAGGCTGCTAGCCTTTTAAGTGACCACACCCTTTCCTGCAGCCGCCAGCTGGGCGGAGGGGGCTTCCTGCTCCGTCCTGAACCAGCCTACCTGGCCCCACTCACTTGTCAGCACTGCCGTGTGCCGGGATCCGCAGCTGACCTTGACTGCCTCTGAGCCCAGGCTGAGGTCCAGTAAAGCTGGGAACGGCTGGACTGCTATGAAGGGGGCGGGGGCTCCATCCTCACCCGAAGAGACTCTCTTTACTTCAGAACCATCTTCATCCAGTCCTGAGGCTTCAGAGAAGCAGTAAGAGTTATGATAATGATGGTGAACACTCACTGAGACCTGATCTACACCTCGATCGTAAAAAATAATTAAAATAATAAGCATCATTCATACAATAGCTGAAGCCCCTACTCTAGCTCCAAAGCTGTCACTTCCAACCCTGAATTCCCTGGGAAGTGCTGAGCTGACAGGCTTGTGGGGCGTGCCGTGAGGACACTGGCATCAGCCGTGCCGTGCTCCCTCTCATAAGGGGCTCAGAGTCCTGGGGTGCCAAGGATGTCACATACCCCTTCTGAGCCCTGTAGCTCTCAAGCCAGCCTATGGCCAGGAGGCAGGAATGACAGAAATGTGTGGAAATCAACAACTGACTCTCACCAACAGACTTGTGGTTGCCAAGGAGGAGGGGGTGGGGGAGGGATGGATTGGGAGTTTGGAGTTAGCAGATGCAAACTATTATACATAGAATGGAAAAAACAATAAGGTCCTAATCTATAGCACAGGGAACTATACTCAGTATCCTGCAATAAACCGTAATAGAAGAAATATAAAAAAGAATGTATGTGTAGGTATAACTGAATCACGTGGCCATACAGCACAAGGTAACACAACATTGCAAATCAACTGTACTTCAATAAAATAAATTTTTAACAAAATTGACCCTCACCTCCTGCAGTTGTCTTTCCATCTTCTGCCAGACTCTTGGTGGGCAGGGCCAGCTGCCCCGATTCATTCCAGCCCCAGATATAAATATCTCCTGTCTCTGTCTCAGAGAGAATAGGGTCCCATTAAACAGACTCAGATCACCCCTGCATCCATCCACACTCCCTGGAGGTGTGGCTCCTGAAAGACAACTCTTACCTGCCCCACCCAAGTCAGCGTTCCAGATTAAGCACCTCCCCCAGCGCCCAGCAGCTTCCTCGTCTCAGTAGGGCCTTTCCCCCTTAAGTGCATTCGGTCACCCTATTTCTTAAAGGACACCTCTTGTTAGGCTTTCCTCTCCAGGGTCACTTTTCCCTTTTGTTGTTAAATCCCAGCCCCCACCTCCAACATGCAATTTGGAAATGAGTTCCTGGAAGTTCCCAAGTGTCTTCTTTTCACATCCACTGAGCCCAGGCTCCTTTCTTCAGCCCTACCCATCACTGGTCCTGAAGACCTTTTTTAAAAAATGTGTTGTTTTTTTTTACACTGACACAGCATTGATTTAACTGACACAGCATGAAAGTTTTTGTATAAGTTTCATGTATACAACATTACATATATTTTGACTTCTGTATGCACTAGTTTATCACCAAAAGGTCGGTTTCCATCTGTCGCCATACAGTTGACCCTCTTGACCCTCCCCCATCCCTGAAGGCCTCTAGAAGCTCTCAACATTGCTTGCCTCCTCCCACAACACTATATAGGGTTGTTGGCTGGAGCAAGAGCCCTAACACTAAAAATTCACTAACAGTAGTAGCTGATTTTTATCAAATATTTAATCCGTGCCAGCACAGATATTAAGCACCATATCCCCCCTCTACTCCAGAGAAACTTGAATGGTGAGGTGTTCTGCCCAAGATCACCAGGGGCAGAGTGATGCTGATGTGAACCTGGGAGGTCTGGTTTGAAGCATCAGTGCTCCAACCACACTACACCGAGTCCTCAAACTCCTTTTGGACCTTAGTGTGAGACTTCCCATTGTGCTCACTTTCTGGTCCTCTCATCTCTCCTCCTGCCCAGTAGTTCTCAAGCCTGGCTGCCAACCCAGGCCCATTAGAATAGGAAGGGGAGAGTGCAGGCCTAAGTCATTTTTAAAGATCCCGAGTGAAACCATGCCCCATGGATTTAACAGGAGGTGATAACTACAGAGAAATTCTTGAACTTTCCTTGGAGAACAGATGAGGAACACACTATTAAAAACCCCTTTGCTTGTAAAATGCCTTCATTAAGTTCACTTTGATTTTTCTGCTTTTTTTCCCCTTTAATTGTATACAGTTTCATACAACTCAGCTGTTTCACAGGAACTTGGAGTCAGCGCCTGCCCAGCAAAAGTCATCTGGAGACTCAATGGGACCACCGACCCTAAAACTGGGCTTGTGCACATGGCCAATGAATGGCCTTCTGATGTCAGAGGGCTGGAAAACTCCACCCTTAGATCATGCTAATTGCCTCCTTTCCTCCCGCCGCCCCCCCCCCCAAGCCTGCATGGCTCGTGGGATCTTAGTTCCCCGACCAGGGATTGAACCCAGGCCCCAGCAGTGAAAGCTCTGCATCCTAACCACTGGACTTCCAGGGAAGTCCCAAAGCGCCTCCAGTTTGAAATCTGCAGAACTATGTTGACTCAGGTATGCCTGCTCAGAACACTGATTACCTCACCTTCTTCCCTACCTCCAATCACCTTTCTCCATGCCTAAGACCACCTGGCTTATGCCATAAATACCCCAAGCCCTTCAATGTGGCAGATCAGAGGCTTATTCTCCCATCTCCTCGCTTGGCTGCCTTGTGAATAAACTCTTTCTTGGCTGTCAACCTTGGCATCTCTGCGTTTGGCTGACTGTGCAGCCCAACCTTGTCAGTAACAATATAAGTAGCGGCCACAGCGCCAGATGCAGATCCTTGCAAAAGTCATCTGCTCCCAGCCCTACCCCACAGCCTAGCTATCAGCTGCACCTGATCTCCTGCCAGAGGGGTGAACACAATCTCAACTGATGCTAATCCCATCCCAGGTGACCAGCCACGGCACCACCTGAGCTCACACTGACCACCGTCCTCTTCCGGGTGGGCCTCCCGGTGTCCACTGTATGCCACACATCACGGCCACCTGGGCAGCTGCTGCCTTTCTTCTCCATCCTTCCTGTCTCAGCTGCCCCTCACCCCTCCATTCTCCACTGGGGAGTATTCCAAAATGACAGCCCTGGCTGGAGGCAGATGGATGGGAGGGGTAGTGAGACCAGAAGACGGGAAACAACTGCCAACAGTCCGGATTGTGAGGGTGGTCATGGTGGGGGTGCTGAATCTGTCAGGCGTTTGGGAGTCAGGAATGACTGGGCTGATGGATGCGGGAGGAGCTTGGAAGGAGGCCTGGCTAGGCCACCCATCTAACTGGGGAGAGGAGGAGGAAGGTTTGGCATCTGGGAGACCCTGAGCTGGTTTTGGGAAAGCCCTAGGTCACTCACCACTCAGGCACACAGAGTGCCAGCCGCCTGCGGCAACTTCAGCCATGGTTAGGCCCTGTAGCGCCTCCAACAGCCTGGGCTCTGGCTCGGCCTCCAGGGTCCCATGGCCCAGCTGTCCATGCCTTAGCAAAGAAGATCCCAGTCAGCGATGCTCACACCAAGAGGTCTCCTCCCCATCCTTGCCCAAACACTCCCTCCTGCCCCCTGTATGCTGACCTCCCACTCCGAGGTCACATTTACCCCAGCCCTCCCCCACCCCCCACCCCAGCAAGAGCCCAGCTGGGCAACCTGGCCAAGCCCCACTCACCTGCCCGCGCCCCAGGAGAACACCTGGCCCGCGGCGTCCAGCAGCAACGCGTGCTCGGCGCCCAGCTCCAGGCGACGCGCCCGCAGCGTGGGGGCCAGAGGCCGGTAGAAGGGCGGCCGCGGGCTCACGTAGGCGCGAGCGCAGGGCAGCAGCGGCAGCGGCCCCGCCTGGGTCTCATCACGGCTGGGTCCGCCTTCCGCCTCCTGCACGGCCTGGGACCAGAGGGGCTCCCCGCGCAGCGCCGAACCCGGCGCCCAGGCCTGCAGCTCCGCCCCGTCTCCCGGCCCCGCGCGCAGCAGCACCAGGAGCTCCTCCGACGCCCACGCGTCCGTGCATCCGCCCGCCGCACCGCTCGCGGCGCCGGACAGCTGCACCCGGCCTCCACCTGCGGGGGGCGGAAAGCGGGCTGGGGACGGAGAGCGGGCTGGGGACGGAGGGGGCGGCGCGCACGCAGGGGGCCGGAGGCGGGGACGGAGAGGGGCGCTCACGGGTCACAAAGGCGGTGTAGCTCCAGCTCGCGCTCACGCTGCAGACGTCGAGGTTGCCACCCGGCGTCCTCAGCGGCTCGGGGCTGTGCACCTGGCGCCCGAGCCCCGAGCCCAGCGCCTGCCCGAAGCCGCAGAAACCGAAGCCGAACCAGGTCCCGCGATGCTCCTGGTCCATGCCTCGCAGCGCCCTCGGCTGGCTGCGACCTGGCTGGAGCGGCCGGCGAGACGGAAGGTTAGGGCAAAAACCCAGAGAGATTCTTCCTTGGGAGACACTGCAGCTGCCTTACGGGTAAAAGGAGGGGAAAGCCACCCTTCTAACCACAGAGGCACACGACGTGCATTCCACCGACGTTCGCTGAGCGGGCGTCCTACCAGACCTAGAACGATTCTGAGCTGTGTAAGTGGGGCCCTTTCCCTGTCCTCCCTTTTGACTCAAGCACATTCACTATCCCGCAAAGTGGGCACGAAGTAGTTAAACAGCCCCTCCTTTAGGCTAGTCCTTCAGGACTAGGACTGAGTCCCTCCCACTCCAAATTCTCAATGTCAGACACATTATCCCATGTAATCCTGGGAACTAGAATTGTCTCCGTTTGACAGTGGAGACTCCCAGAGAAAGTGACCCTTACACAAGCTTAGGACCGAGAGGGGCATAAGACTGAACTCAAGATCCATCATTTCTCACCAGTGAAAGGCAAAGACAATGCCCTGTAAGGGGCAGGACCACTTCCAGGGTTCACGTTTGCCTCTGCAGCTAGCTACGCCTGTGTCCTTAGCCAATTTACTTGAGCTCTCTCAATCCAATTCAGTTTGTGCAGTTGTACAAGCTGGGCAGCAGTGGAGGGTGATGTCTGTACCTACCCCGTGGAATTGCTACGAACAGATACAAATAAAGGTTTCAAGAGCTGGCACACAGCATCGTAAGGACACAGTGTCAGCTTATTAAATCCAGGACTTAAGAGTTGATAAAATTAAAAAAAGAAATGGTCACTGGGTTTTTAGAGACCTATGTAAACACAATTTCAACTGGACCTTGTCTACTCATTTATTCATCCCGCACGCATTTATTGATCCTTTTTGTCATTGTTCAGTCGATAAGTCATGTCCGACTCTGCGACCCTGTGGACCCCATGGACTGCATTAATCCCTTACTCTAAGTCAATAAGAAGCACCGCTGTCTGCTTTCAAGGCACTCGTGCATAAATGGGGAAACAGAGGCAGAGTCGAGTGACACGGTGATGCCACTTTCTGCGTACAGCATGTTCGGCTTAATCAGAATATCGTTGGCATTTTTAAGTCTTTGAAGCTAGATCCTGCAGTATCTCCTTGACCCAGGCCTGGGCTCCTACCCCTTCCGGGCCAATCCCAGCCCAAGGCCTCTGATCTTAATCTTGACCCTGTGTCCTCCACCCCCTCAGGCAGCTCGATCCAATGGGCCGTCTAGAGGGAGGAAAGGCCGGGAGGCAGGGCAGCGACCAGGAACCGGTCGACAGCCGGACCAGGACTCGGCTGGCAGCCAGGAAGTTAAGGTTTGAAGAGCCGCGCCCTAAGCCCATTGGCTTCGGAAGCCTCCACGGAGCCAATCGCCGGCGAGCGGCGTGACCTCCCCGGGCAGGGCGGGCGGCCGTGGACGTGCTTACCTGGGTTCGGGCAATCTGGCCTGTTCAATCCTAACTCGGTCGAACCGGTCCCGAGGCCTCCGCTAGGCCCAGGAGGCCCCGGGCGGGGAGTGGGCCAAACCTCCGCCGGGCGTGGCTCGAAACCGAGGTTGGACCAGATGGACCCGCCCCCCGCAGGCTCGCACGGGGCCGCGGAGCCCGTATTAGAAGCATCTGGGGGGCATTCACAAAGAACTAAGGGGTCGGCTACGAGCGACCCCAGGGACGAGTGCTACCTGTCCTCCTTTTCAGTCTGGGGCGGCCGCAGCTCGCTCTTAACTCTCGTGGGTCTGCCCAACGTGCCGCAGTCGTACTAGGCGGACGGCGGGCAGCTTTTACCATCCATTGGCTCTGGAGTCTGTCACTTACCTCCGTGAGCCAATGAGAGTCAAGCTGGGCTTGATCCGCAGAGCGGAAGCAGGCGCTCTGGGACTATCCGCCCAGCCAGGTGGGGGAACTCGCGGCGCCCAGCTCAAACCCGGCTCAGGTACTGGGGTTCCTTTCAGCGTTTTCCCAACCCTAGATCCCGCGTTCTCCCTAACTGGAGGCCACTGAGAACTCTCAATACAAAGGCAGAAGTATTGAAAGGCCTATTAGCTCAGATGACACCACCCTTATGGCAGAAAGCGAAAAAGAACTAGAGAGCCTCTTGATGGAAGTGAAAAAGGAGAGTGAAAAAGCTGGTTTAAAACTCAACATTCAGAAAACTAACATCATGGCATCCTGTCCCATCACTTCATGGCAAACAGATGGGGAAGCAATGGAAACAGTGACAGACTACTTTTGGGGGCTCCAAAATCACTGCAGATGGTGACTGCAGCCATGAAATTAAAACACACTTGCTCCCTGGAAGAAAAGCTGTGACCAACCTAGACAGCATATTAAAAAGCAGAGGCATTAGTTTGCCAACAAAGGTCGGTCTAGTCCAAGCTACAGTTTTTCCAGTAGTCACGTATGGATGTGAGTGTTGGACTATAAAGAAAGCTGAGCGCCGAAGAATTGATGCTTTTGAACTGATGTGCTGGAGAAGACTCTTGAGACTTGGACTGCAAGGAGATCCAACCAGTTCATCCTAAAGGAGATCAGTCCTGAATATTCATTGGAAGGACTGATGCTGAAGCTGAAACTCCAATACTTTGGCCACCTGATGTGAAGAACTGACTCACTGGAAAAGGCCCAGATGCTGGGAAAGATTGAAGGCAGAAGGAGAAGAGGATGACAGAGGATGAGATGGCTGGATGGCATCACCGACTCAATGGACATGAGTTTGAGTAAACTCCGGGAGTTGGTGATGGACACTGAGGCATGGCATGATGAAGTCCATGGGATCGCAAAGAGTCGGACATGACTCAGCAACTAAACTGAATGCATTTATATCCATGTGACTAAATACTGATTTGCTCCCCAATGTTTACCCTTTGACCTTCTAACAGGGATAAGCAACTCAGCAGACCTGGGGTAGGATTCCATTTGATTCCTTCCCTAGAGGTAGCTGTGCTGCTGTAAAGCTGCCCACACTACTCAGTCATGTCCAGCTCCTGCTCCATAGTCTGGTCCACTGCCAGCCCTCCCTGCCGATGACAGAGCACATACTTGAGTTCCACGCACTTTCTTTTTTTGTCCACATTGGCACATGGGACCTTAGTTCTCTGACCAGGAATTGAACCTGCAGCCCCTGCCTTGGAAACACAGAGTCTTAACCACTGGACTACAATGAAATCCCTCCACAAGCTTTTATTAGAGGATCAGAGGTGCTCCTGCTAGCAGGCTCAGGTGATGCTCATAGCTGGTGAGGCTGCTTGTTGTGTCCTTCCCAATGCCAGGAACCCACAGGCTGAATTAGGACACACCATCCCCATTCCCAGCTGTCTTAGTAGTACAGGAAAAAGTGCCCTGCCATGTGAGGCTGGAGGCTGTGCTGGGAGAGCAGGGCTGTGAACGTGCTCCCTGACTCAGAACAGAGGACATCAAAGGGCAGCCGGGGAGGAGAGACCAGATGTGTGCATCCCAGCCCCCACCAGCCAGTTTGTCCTTGCTCCTTGTGCTGTGATGGGTAGCGTGTGTGAGAGGCAGGCCCTCATTTTCCATCCTGGCTGGGTTTGATAAGCCCATATTCCACCGCTTTCCCCAGACAAGCTGTGGCCGCCCTGGTGACTGGGCTCTCCTTGTCCTTGGCCAGCACCGACAGGATCTCCAGCACCTCGCTCTCCATCAGGGTGCTGGCGATCTCCCTCGAGGCCTCCACCATGTTCAGCACCACCACAGCGCCCCGGTGCTGCAACTCCTGGCTGGGGCTCAACAGCAGGGCCTGCAGGATCTCCAGCCAGTGTGTGGTCTGCCGGAAACAGGGCAGTGTGACCACGGAGCAGCAGGGAACCCTGGCAGCGAACACCACCCGCACACCCTGGGGCTGCCTTCCACCAGCCGACCGCCAGCAGGCTGGGGCTTCCTGGCCCACCTCCCCTGTCTCCACCAAGAAGAGGCACTGACCACTTGGGGGATGCGGCTGCAGAGCGAGGGCCGCACGGAGGTGAGCACAGCCAGGCCCCCGGCGGCCGCCCGCCGCAGCAGCTCGTCGTCCTCGCCACTGTACAGTACCAGCAGCTTCAGCCGGTCGTTGCCCGTGGCTTCAAAGAGGTCCTGCACCTGTGGCCACAAGTGGGGCGGGACCAAGTCAGATGGGGCAGAAGCCCAGCCAGGGCCGGGTCCTCCTGCGTGTCTGCCTGGCGTGACCGCCTGGACCAGCCCTCACCTCCTTGCTCATGGCCAAGTTACACATGCATTCCGTGGCCGCCCGGCGGAGCATCTCGTGCTCCTCAAACATGTAGCCTTCGATCATGGGCACGGCCTTCTCCTTCAGGATCTTCTGCCTGCGGGGCCAGGGGTGGAAGCGTCGGCATCACCAAGGCGTTTGCATCCATCACTCCCAGCCCCGTTTCCCCATACAACAAGCCCTGGGCCAAAGATTTCCCTGGGCAATATGCAGAGACCGTCCTGCGCAGGTTTGAAGCCACTGGGCAGTGGTTTCCAGCCTTTTAACCCGGCCGAGGAGACAGCACACGGGACCTTGGAAGATGCTCTCAACTAGGAGTTAGGATACCTGGGGGTGATGATGGCGATGCTAACATCTAACGTTTGAGCACTCACCCTGACCCAGCACTACTTCCCTGGCGGTTCAGTAGCTAAGACTCCGTGCTCCCAATGCAGGAGGTCCCGGCTCCATCCCTGGTCAGGGAAATAGATCTCACGTGCCACAACTTAAGATCATGCATGCTGAAACTACGACCTGGCACAGCCAAATAATAAATATTTTTTTAAAAATCTTCACCACAGCCCTATGGTAAAGGTGCACATGTGATTATCACTACTACTTTGCAGAAGGGGAGCCTGAGACTGAGTAGTCTCAACATTAGTGAGAGCAGCTAATACGTGCTGCTTGGACACATTGCTAGGAGTCAGGCATCTAGGTAGTAAATGCTTTTACCTGGATTTTCTCATTTAATCCTCCTCACTGCTACTCCATGAGATAGGTACATAACCATTCCATTTCACAGAGAGGGAAACTAAGGCACAGAGGGGTTAAGTTACTTGTGAGGTTAGACCCTAATAACCAGTAAAGCCAGGATTTGAATCCACGTGGTCTGACTCTAGGGCCTGCACTCTTACGGCCTAGTTTCTTGCCCTCTCGCAGAACACTGCACAAGTCATGCCTCTCGGCCTGTCTGACAAATAAGTAACTGAGGAGCGCACGCCGAATTGTAAAGTGCTGAACTTCCCTGGGGGTCCAGTGGATAAGAATCTGCCTGCCATGCTGGGGACATGGGTTCGACCCCTGGTCCGGGAAGATCCCACATGCTGAGAAGCAACTGTAAGCCCATGTGCCACAACTACTGAAGCCTGTGGTGGGGCACCTAGAGCCTGTGCTCTGCGACAAAAGAAGCTAACACAATGAGAAGCCCGTGTACCCCAATGAAGAGTAACCCCCGCTCACTGCACCTACAGAAAGCCAGCGTGGAGCAACTAAGACCCAGCACAGCCAAAAATAAATTCAGTAAATGACTAACAATAACAACAAAAAGAACTGTAAAGTGCTTTCCTGGGAACGGTCTAAACCACGGTGCCCTGCCCAGGCCCCGCATCCCCTCGGGCCTCACCGAAGCCTCTCACTGATCCCCGCCAGGTTCGTTAGAGCCATGAGCGCCTCGAAGTTCTGCAGGCCGGAGCAGTTGAGGTGCAACAGGGAGACGAGGGGCCGGACCACCTCGTAGATCTGGAATACACACCCATGCATCAGGGCTACCTGCCCCAGTTCTCCCAACCCCACCGGCCCTGCAGATGGGAGTCCAGCCCCCGAGAGGTCACCCTCCCCACCCCAGGGTCCCGTGGAGGAGCCACAGCCTGAGTGAAAGGCCAGGAGGGCCCACTGAGGGGGTGGAGGACAGGCCAAGGCTGGGGCAGGAAGACACGCACCCTCTCGCCGGGAAAGGTCATCTCTGGGTTGGAGGTGATGGTGAGCTTGGCGAGAGCCTGGGCTGCCTTCGTCTGCCCCACGTCGGTGCCTTCCAGGGCCAGTGGGAGCAGAGCCTGTGGGACAGGCCCATAAGCACCCAGGCTGCAGCCAGGATCGTGAGGCCCTGACTGTGCCGCCCTCACCTGTCCCATCTCTCTCCCGGGGCCTGACCACACGCCCACTCACCCTCTCGCTTCTGAGGCCTCCTGGAAAGCTACCCAGACGCTTCTGGAAAACACTTATTAAGGGCTAGACGTGGACTGTGCCAGGCATGGGCCAGGAAGGCCGATGATACAGGAGCGCTCAGACCCCTATAAAGTCCAGGGCCCTTCAGCATCACTCACGCATCAGGAAGACATTCCTGCTGTCTGCTAATGACACTTGTCTGTCCCCATCCAACACCAACCTCTGCTGTGGCAGCCACTGAGTCATGTTTTACGGCCCATCCTGAAGGAGCCTGAGCCAGCTTACCTTGCCCCCTCCCTGAGCAACCACAGTGCCGCGGTCCTCGACCTCTTCCACCAAAGCCAAGAAGACCCTGCGGGGAGAGTGCCGAGCTGGGCGGGCGGGTCAGGGCTCTTGTGGGCAGAGCTTCCGCTGCCGCTCCCGGGTGCAGCAAAGGAAGACTGCCAGGTGGGTGGCCCCTCTTTCTCCAGGAGCCCACTGCCTCCTGGGCTCCCCCTGTAGTTTCATCAGCAGCGGGGAGGCTGATGGGCAGGGGGCAGGCTCACCTGGAGAGCAGCTCCCTGCAGGAACTGGTCAGCACAGGGCTCTCGGTCTTCACCATGCACGTCATGGCCGACACCACACCGGCTGCCAGCAGCTTCTTCACCCGAGCCCGCACAAAACTCGGCTTGTCCTGGGGAATGAGGCAGCTGAGCAGAGGGACCTCAGCTAACCAGGCAGGGGAAAGGGGAACCGTTCTCAAGACACTTGTTGATGGGCATGACAACAAAGGGAAAGAGGAGTTCCCTGGTGGTCCGGTGGTTAAGAAGCCACCTGCCAATGCAGGGGACACAGGTTCCATCCCTGGTCTGGGAAGATCCCACATGCTGCAGGAAACTAAGCCCGTGTGTCGCAAGTACTGAGCCTGAGCTCTAGAGCCCGTGCTCTGCAACAAGAGAAGCCACCGCAGTGAGAGCCTCCGCAACTCGAGAGCAGCCCCTGCTCACCACAGCTAGAGAAAAGCCCGAGCTGCAACAAAGACCCAGTGCAGCCAAGAATAAATTACATAAATTAGCTAAGTTTAAAAAAAGATTGAAAGAGAAAGAAACCTGCTTAAACAGAAGGCGCACCTGCTGTGGATGGCTTGGGTCAACTGGCCCCCATGACACGGAGGTCCCCTCACCTTGGGGTGCTGCTCGGGCACGTGCTGCTTGGCATACTTGGCTAGCTCCACCATCTTGGGGTCCGGCTCCTCGTAGTCGTAGCTATTGGTGCAGTTCACCAGCGCAGAGGCCACCGCGAAGAGCACCGACCTCTCCTCGGACTGCCGGGAGGGGGCAGAGGGGCTGTCAGCAGCCAGCCCCGGGGCAGAGCAGGACTGGGGTCAGCGCTGCCCAGGCTCCCAGTTCTACCCTCGGCTGGGCCCCCTGGGCACCAGGATGGATCCAGGCACCTCCCAGGCCCCAGGGCGGCCCCTGGCTTTGGGAGCTCATGCACTAGACCTCCCTGACTCCTCCTCAGAGGGCAATCTTTCTGACATGGCTGGTGCAGTTCAGAACGCCCAGGCTGCACAGGGCAGTCACTCGGGCTACCAGCCCTGTGTCACGAACGCCGTGGGCCACCACCTGCCAAGAAAGCCCTCTGGGCTCTAATCCGAGTCAGCATCCCTGGACGACTGCAGGTACCCAAGGGCTACCTTGCTGAGCTGGAACAGAGCCTTCAGGGCAGCCGCATCCTCCACAAACTCTTCCTTCACGTCAGCATCAAAGGTGAGGTAAGCCAGGCCTTCCACTGCCCAGCGCCGTGTGCCCACGTCCATCTGGTCATTGCACAGCCACCTGGGGGCGTGCAGGGCACTGATGACTACCAGAACGGGCAGGGGGGTGGCGGGGGATGGCAGGAGGGGCACCCCAGGACCCAGGGGGGAAAAGCCAGTGGTTGGGGCAACCCCACCACATACGGAAGTGGTTCACGTGGAGGGTCTGCCTGGGGAGGACAGGGCAGTGAGGATTCCCCTCTTCTCTTGAGGTCTGGCCAGCAGGCAGGGAGCCACGGCCGTGCTAAACTACTCACTTTCGACACTGCTTGGCCAGCTTGAGAGTGGAGCCTTCGGCAAACTGCTTCATGCTAAAGTCGGTCCCTCCAGCCGAGCCGAGCTTACAGAGCCCCTGCAAGAGAGGGTGAGAACCAGCTATTGGCCAAGAGGCAGGGCAGGGCTCGCCCCCAGCACTCTGCCAGGCTCCCTGGGGGCCAGGCACACCCCCACCAGGCTACCAGCTGGACTGTGCTGTGCTAAGTCACTTCAGTCGTGTCCGACCTTTGCGACCCTATGGACTGCAGCCCGCCAGGCTCCTCTGTCCATGGGATTCTCCAAGCAAGAATACTGGAGTGGGGGTTGCCATGCCCTCCTCCAGGGAATCTTCCCAACCCAGGGATTGAAACCACGTATCTTATGTCTCCTGCACTGGCAGGCAGATTCTTTACCACTAGTGCCCCCTGGGAAGCCCACAAAACCAGCTGCTAGGGTGGCCATGTGATAGCATCTGGGAGAGACTGACATGCTGACCACTGTGCTGGCCCGGGGCCCCCTGCAGAGGTGCACCGGGACTTGCTCTGTTCCTTCCCACCTCACACCAAGGAAGCTCTTGATGGGAAAAGCTAAGATATGTGTGGGGAGAAAACAGGTGCCTCAGCCGAGGCCAGGACCCCCATGGGAGGGATGAACCCAGGACAAGGCCCTCCTCCCCCACAGAGGGGGCTTCCTCCAGGGGCAGGGCTGCAACAGGCTCACAGGGGTCAGGTGTTCCCTAGACTACAGGCTCCAGGGGCTGCCTGGCCTAGTGTGTCCTCCCAACTCCTCCCAGAGCCGCTCCCACTGCCTGCAGTGGGCAGCCCAGGCTGCCCTGCATGCTTAGGCATCCTGTCTGTTCAAGGTTCACCTCCTCCTCCTCCCCAGGACGAGCCAGGGCCCTGCCGCAGCCTTGACAAGGCCCTGAAAGTGAAAACCGCTCAGTCGTGTCCAACTCTTTGAGACTCCATGGACTGTAGCCCGCCAGGCTCCTCTCTCCATGTGATTCTCCAGGCAAGAATACTGGAGTGGATTGCCATTCCCTTCTCCATGGGACCTTCTCAACCCAGGGATGGAACCCAGATCTCCCACACTGCAGGCATATTTTTTACTGTCTTGAGCGATCAGGGAGGCCCTTCAACAAGGCCCTGCACACCCCCCGTTTTCACCAAGCGTGTCCTGAGGCTGCACCCTGAGACACTGGCCAGCCAGGGCCCCTGGCCTGGCCGCCTGCTGGCTCAGCCCAGGCCTGCCCGTCTCACCACCAGCGCCCGGATGCGGATGCTGTCCTTCTCGCTGCGCTTGTACAGGTCTTTCAGCAGCGAGACGCCGTTGGCCGTGATGAATGAGGCCCGCTTGGCCTTGCCGGCCGCGTGGATCAGGGCCTCCACGGCCACCAGCTGCTCCTCCTCCTGCTCCGAGGCGCACAGGGCGATCACGCTCTCCATGACGCCGTTCAGCTCCAAGGCCCGGTTACCGGCGTCACATGGGCCCTGCAGGAGGCAGGACACTGTCTGGATGGCCCGCAGCTTCCCGGCCAGCCCATGGCCCTCAAACCAGCTCCTGCAGGGCACAGGGTGGCAGCTGTCACATCACAGCCAGCAGAGAGAGACTGCCCTTCCCTCCCGCCTCTTCCACTGGCCAGGCATCTGCAGGATGTGGGCAACAACAGCAAGAAAAGCTGCCAGCGGGAAGACCAGGACACCACCCCTCTGGGCAGCAGCCACCGAGGCTCTGCATCCAGGCTTTCATTTGCGCCCCATCCCCACCCCCGATGACCTGCCGTCAACGCAGGGCGCTGTTGCTCACACACGCTGTCTCCTTCCCTGTAGTCACTGAGGTCTGAACTTGGGCCACTTACTCCATGACTTGCCGTCCGTCAGTCTGCTCCTAGCTATGAGCCCTTAAGGTGAGGACTGACGTAGCACTGGTGTGTCGGGACAGACACACAGCGTGTGCTCAGTGAACACTACGTGCTGGAGGACACTGGCTGCACTGGATAACTTGAGAGCTTGTGAGTATTCAGTTGGGTCCAACTCTTTATGACCCTGTGGACTGTAGCCCACCAGGCTCCTCTGTGCGTGGGAGTCTCCAGGCAAGAATACTAGAGTGGGTTGCCATTCCCTATTCCAGGAGATCTGCCCGACCCAGGGACTGAACCCGTGTCTCTTTCATCTCTTGCACTGGCAGGCAGATTCTGCAGCAATGAGCCACCTGCACTGGAACAGAACTGACGTAAGAAAGAATATCCTTGGGGACCTCCCTGGCGGTCCGGTAATTAAGGCAGTGCTTCCACAGCAGGGGGAATGGGTGTGAGCCCTGGTCAGGGAACAGATCTGATATTTCGAGCAGTGTGGAAAAAAAAATAAGAAAGAACGTCCCCGCAGAGGGACTCTGAAACAACAAGTGGCCCTTGGGACCGCTCTGACTCTCACAAGTCCTCCCCAAGGCTGCGTCTCTGATGGGAAACCTTTCACTGCTGTCTCTCCCCAAAGAGTCAGCTCTCTCGAGGGAGCCCTGGCTATAGGAGGGCTCCCTTACTTGATGTAGTTTTCACAGAGTCGGTGGAAGTTCTCCCTCTCGGCATCACACTTCAGGTCATCGAAGAGCTTGCTGAGCAGAATGGAGGCACTCATGCGGCTGTTTGCTGTCACTGTGAGCTCCCCGGGAGGGTCCTGCACAGAGCCGCCCACCTCCAGGATCTTCTTCAGACCTGAAAAGACACCCTATTCAGACAACAGAACACGAGTTCCAACCCTGATGGGCCAAGGGAAGAGGTCTCCACTCGCACAAGCTCAGAGTACAGGCAGGCTCACAGAATTGGGCTGGCGGACCCGCTGTCTACGGGGGTGGGTGTGCAGGTGTGGGGTCAGCGAAGGACCTCAGAACTTAAGGCCTGTGGGCTGGCCCTGCCTGTGGAGCCGAATGCTCTGGGGCTTGGAGGTTCCTCACAGCTGCAAAACTGCAGGGAAAATAACCTCATGCCTCATAGGATCATTGGGATAACAAGAAAAGATGAGTTCCCAACAGGCGTGCTCATGCTGGGACTCTGCCAACCTTTCCTTATATTTTTTTAGGGGAAAGGAGAAGTGTGAACTTCTATATTAAACTGTAAGAATTCTCCCCCTGTGTACAAAAGTAACACACAATGAAAACAACTTGACACAGAAGGCTGACCCAGCCTCCCTGTTAACCTGCTCGTGGGCCTGCTCGATGTGTGGGCGAGCGCACATGTACACGGCTGAAGGAGCCGATGTCGCCGAAGGGTACAGTGCAGGGCACACGTGCTTCAGCGCAGACACACGTGCTGGGGGCAACCGCTTCTGCAGTCGCGCAGGCCCAGCCATCTGAGCAACATGCCACACATGTGCTTGGTCTATTTATTCACCTACCTTTCAGTGTATGGCCAATAACTGTTAGTTGCTCAGTTATGTCCAACTCTTAGGGACCCAACAACTGTAGCCCACCAGGCTCCTCTCTGCATGGGATTCTCCAGGCAAGAATACTGGAGTGGGTTGCCATTCCCTTCTCCAGGGGATCGTCCCGACCCAGAGACTGAACCACGCCTCCTGCATTGACAAGAGGATTCTTTACCATCTGAGCCACGAGGGAAGCCCTATCTACCTGTATTTCTATTTATTTACTTATTTATATGCTGTGCCACATGGCATGTGGGATCTTCGTTCCCCAACCACAGATTAAACCCAGGCCCTCGGCAGTGGAAGCACAGAGTCCTAACCACGGGACTGCCAGGGAAGTACCTTTCTCTTTTTCAAACTCTGTACCTACCTTGGTCGATAACCCAGAGGGTGAGGCTGTTGTTGGGGTCCTTAGGAGACTTCCGGGGCACCACTTTAATCAGGAGGGTCAGGGCATTGTCTCGGCCTTGGCCCGAGACCCCCACCTCCGTCAGGAGCTCCAGGAGGTTACTGATGAGGACCTTCAGCTCCCGGGCAGGATCTGGCAACAGGAAGACATTCACCAGCTCTACAGTGGCCCAGCCCCGTCCGACCCTGAACTTCCCTGGTAGGGTGAGGGGACCTGCAGCCTAAGCGCTGGTTTCTAGCCTACCCCAGAGGCATCCCAGGTCCTTAGAACCTAGAGTGAGATGCTGTCAACAAGCCTTTTCCTGAACACCCTGCAGGTGTAGCCAGCCTGGCTAGCTCAGCCCTTCCCCACCACGACAGCAACACCCATAGGACATAGGCCAGCTTCCACTGACTCACCCACGATGATGGCGCCTTCTTTGCCACGGAAGCCCTTCTTGATGCCTTCTTTGAGGGCATCGAACATAACCTGCAGCAGGTGGCAGGCAGCCAGGGACACCGCCTGGTTCTCCACGCCCAGCATGGAGACCACCCGCCGAGTTCCCAGCACGCTCAGGGTGGCCACTGTCTGGTGGGGGGAGAGAGGTGGACAGAGCTTCCGGTTGGCAAAGGGCAGCTTCAGAGATCCCTAACTGGGGGTTGGAGAGGGTGGCCAGAGGGGAGAACACGTGAGTGGACAGAGCAGCTCCCTGGGAAAGCAAAGTGGGTCTGCCTGAGGGCAAGACCTGGGTGATACCCTGATTCTCTGTTGGAAGGGCTTCCTAAAGAAAACACTCCAGGGACTTCCCTCAACTTACTTGCCCTGTAAGTTGAGAGCTATGGGACTTCCCTGGGGGTCCAGTGATTAAGACTCTGTGGTCCCAATGTAGGGAGCATGGCTTCAATCCCTGGTCAGGGAACTAAGATCCCACACGAGTGGATGGACAGACAAACTGACCGAGGCAGTAGCTAGACCCTCCGCCACACCCACCCGTGACTGGTGCTCAGAGCAAATGCCGACTAGGGTACGCAGGGCCGCCAGCATCAGGTCAGGCTCTCCTGTGTCCAGCAGGCGCTGTAAGAGCTGAACCCCATTGCTCCGGAAGATCTTCTCGGCCCCGGCATCCTCCCGGGCCAGCACCACCAGGTTCTGAGATGCCTGCGTCAAAGGAAGTGCATCGTGACGTGAACACGGCACACGGCATGGAGACAGAGGACAACCTGAACCTCACTGCTTCCACTGAGCTCATGGCCATGAACTTCACTGCTCTGAGCACCAGCTTCCGCCTCTATGAGCAGAGGGAAGAGCTCGCTCTGGGAGTTGATGGTTAGCATAAATGGAGTCTCAAGTCCCTGGCAAAGCTCCTGGCATGAGACCTGAGCACCAGTAGGCGCTCCAGGAACACTGGCTCCCTCCCCGTGGCCCACACTGAGGCCCCAGGCCCTCTGAGCCCCCACTCAGGCTCTGTGAGCCCAGCGGGTGACGCACCAGCAGACCAGGCCAGCAGGGGTTCCTGGGCCCACATCATACACACACAGGGAGGCGTGGGCAGCACTAGGGGAGCTCCGCCCCCACTCGCCCAGGTCTATACCTTTTGCTTTTTCTCGGTGCCTTTCTCTTGTGGGTCCAATAGTATCTGAAACATCTGCTCCACTTTGGCATCTGTTGAGGACATGTATCTCACCTACAACAAACCAGCAAAGCATGGCAGGAATTGCCACCTGGCCCCAGACAACACATTTCCTCTTGTTCTCTCCAGCTCCTCCCCAGGCCTGGCTCCTGGCTCCAGAGGGCACAGCACAGATGTCTGGGCCCAGGTCTCACACCCAGCTTCCTTGGGCAGGAAGAGACTCGCCTGGTAGCTTCTCCCAAACTTCCCTGGGCTATTTTCTTCTCTGAGCTGTTTCCTCCTTGGGCAGCAGGGGATGTTGCCGATGCTTAAGGCAGTGCCATTCAGAAGGGTGGCGTCCTGTTAGTCACAAGAAAACCCACTCCCAGGGGGCCATGTACTGTGTGGCGGTCTGGGTGCACCGCCCCTGGCACTGAATTGGCATTTATACCTCCTGCAAGGGAGCCAGGAGGCCACGATGAAGTTGCTGATACTCTGTTTAGGTCAAGGATTCTCTTTTTGATGGATTTTTTAAATAATCTGATGACCAAACTCATCCTAGGCCTTTTCCTTCCCCAGGGTTCTGGGCATGGATAGTGTACATGCCTAACACGTGTGTCCCCACTGCCCCTCCTGCATCCATGGTAGACACCACTGATCCATACCCTCCAAGGCCCATGCGACCTGACTCCTAATCCTTCTCAACATAGAGGTCGAGGCAGCCCTTGCAGATCAAACAGAGCTGAAGCTGAGAGGAAAATAATTTGCTTTCCCAGGTCTCAATCTTTTGATAAGGTGTCTGCCGTCATATTACTTGCGTCTACTGGGTCAGCACGTTAACACCCAATTGTCAGGCTAATTCCAACTTGAAAATAGTTAATGATGCTCTTTAGATTCTCTTCTCCTTAATTTTTAAACATGTGAATCATACAAACATTGTCTCTTTATTTTAAAAAATGAACAGATGAAGCAAAATCTCTTTTGAAAAGCCCCTGCGAGCCCATTCCTTTCCCTAGCAGTCACACTGTTATCATTGTGATGTCTCTCTTTTAAAAGATTTTCCCTTGTAATGACATACCCAACTGAACCCATGGAAAAAAACATGGTATTATTTTGGGTGCATATATGGGGGATTGTTTTAATATAAATGATATCACACTGTCAGCTTTCCACCTCCATACATGACGATCTGCCTATTCTCAATAACTACACATCAGTTCAGTTCAGTCCAGTTGCTCAGTCATGTCCGACTCTTTGCGACCCCATGAACCGCAGAACGCCAGGCCTCTCTGTCCATCACCAACTCCCAAAGTCTACTCAAACTCATGTCCATCGAGTCGGTGATGCCATCCAACCATCTCATCCTCTGTCATCCCCTTCTCTTCCTGCCCGCAACCCCTTCCAGCATCAGGGTCTTTTCCAATGAGTCAACTCTTCGCATGAAGTGGCCAAAGTATTGGAGTTTTAGGTTCAGCATCAGTCCTTCCAATGAACACCCAGGACTGATCTCCTTCAGGATGGACTGGTTGGATCTCTTTGCAGTCCAAGGAACTCTCAAGAGTCTCCTCCAACACCACAGTTCAAAAGCATCAATTCTTCGGCACTCAGCATTCTTCACAGTCCAACTCTCACATCCATACATGACCACTGGAAAAACCATAGCCTTGACTAGACGGACCTTTGTTGGCAAAGTAATGTCTCTGCTTTTCAATATGCTATCTAGGTTGGGCATAACTTTCCTTCTAAGGGGTAAGCGTCTTTTAATGTCATGGCTGCAATCACCATCTGCAGTGATTTTGGAGCCCAAAAAATTAAAGTCTCATGCTGTTTCCACTGTTTCCCCATCTATTTCCCATGAAGTGATGTGACCAGATGCCATGATCTTAGTTTCCTGAATGTTGAGCTTTAAGCCAACTTTTTCACTCTCCTCTTTCACTTTCATCAAGAGGCTTTTTAGTTCCTCTTCATTTTCTGCTATAAGGGTGGTGTCATCTGCATATCTGAGGCTATTGATATTTCTCCCCGAAATCTTGATTCCAGCTTGTGCTTCTTCCAGCCCAGCATTTCTCATGATGTACTCTGCATATAAGTTAAATAAGCAGGGTGACAATATACAGCCTTGACGCACTCCTTTTCCTATTTGGAACGAGTCTGTTGTTCCATGTCCAGTTCTAACTGTTGCTCCCTGACCTGCATAGGTGTCTGTAATAAGTTTATGACTCAATCTGTTTAGCCATTCCCCTATTGTTGGGCATTTTGGCAAGTTCCAATTTTTCATTACTACGAACAAGGCTGAAACAAACATACACACACCAGCTTGCATACATGGACGAGGCTTCTCTAGGGAAGACAGTAAGCAGTAAACATACTGAATCACAGGATATGCTCAAATTTAAGAGATGTGCTAAAAGACTTTCAAAGGAGCTGTACCAATTTACACCCCCCCAAAGCAGTCATGAATGAGCCCGCGATCCCCCCAACCTCACCCTATAAGTGTCTGTCTCCCTCGTTCTAGCAACGTGTACAAACTTTAAATGTCTGCCAAACGGGGCTTCCCCGGTGGCGAGTGGAATCTGCCTTCCAATGCAGGGGATATGGATTTGATCCCTAGTCAGGGCACTATGATCTCACATGCAGAGTGGCAATTAAGCCCACCTACCACAGCTACGAAGCCCGCCTGCTCTGGAGCCCACGCATCACTAGAGAGAAGCCCATACAATGCATCAAAGACCCTTCGTGCAGCAACTAAGACCCAAAGCAGCCAAAAATAAACATAATTTTTTTTTAATGTTAAAAATGTTTGCCAAACAGACCACTGAGAAGAATAGCACCTTGCTGTTCTTTCAATGTGCTTTTTCATGACCACTGACAAGGTTGTGCATCCTTCTGTAAGGTCATTTGCCATCAGTATCCCCTCTTCAGAGATCTGTGATTATACCTTTGCTCCAGATCCACTTTCCAGTGCCCCTCTACCACTGGTCAATGCCTCGCTCTCCCAGTTACTCACATACCTTCTCCTGAATCTGGCCCGCGATGTTCCGCAGGGCCTCCTGGAAAACTTTGTTCTTGGGCTCCAGGCTCACACATCTCTGCAGATCAAGGACTGCCTGGTCGAGGCGGCCCAGTTTCTCTAGGGCTTGGCTTCGCCGGTAAAGTGCTTTGACGTCCCCGCCGTCCTTTTCAATGGCTGAGCACAAACAGGAGCTCTGTCAGCACCCGAGAGGCCACCATCTCCAGGCAAGAGCAGTAGGGAAAGATCTCGAGGGCTAGAGGAAGGTTGGGGGACGGATGTGGGGCTCAGTATTTCAGCCTCAGAAAAGGTGAGGGTAGCTGCAGAAAAGGAGATGCCCGGGAAAGTGGGGGGGGGGGGGGGAAGAAGGCAGATGTGTTTTAGGGGTGAAAAGAGAAGGAAAAAGTGAGGGCTGCCCACCCCAGAAGCCCCACGGCTCCACCCAAGGGCTCTCATTCCCTTACCTTTGGTTGCCTCCGTTTCTGCTTTCTCGTAATCTTCCTGAAACAGAAAGAACAGGGCTTGAGATGCTGGTCATCTCCTTTTTCGGGCAAAACTGGGCAACAGGGTTGTTCTCGAATCACCTAAAGGCCCAAAGGCCATGTGACAAGTTTGGGGGCCCGAGCAGCGGCGGGGTGGGCAAAAGAGGCCCGGGCAGGCAAGGGGAAGAGCAGCCGGCTCCCTCACCAGCTTGAGGTGGCAGGCGGCCCGGTTCCGATGCAGAATGGCCTGGTCCTGGGGCGTTGCGCCCAGACCCAGGGCTTGCGTGTAGGCCGTCAAGGCACCTTCGTAGTCACCGCATTTGAACAGCTCGTTGCCATCCTTCCGCAGCTGTTCCACTGAGGTGGCCTGTGGAGGGAACGCGTGGAAACGTCGCAGGTAGGCTCAGGGTGAGACGGGGAGCTACTGGGGGTCGCGGGCGAGTCCCATGGAGGGCCAAACTGAGAGGGAGGAGGCGGCCCGGGAATCGCCCGAGCAGGTGAGAAGTGGAGATGGCCCAGGGGAATGGGTAGATGGGTACGCACCCCGGGGCCGGCAGACTGGGGCTCGGGGGTCCCTGGACCACTCACAGTCATCGCTCCACAGACGTCCCGGGCGGGCGCAGGCGCAGTCTCCGAAGCAGGGTGGGTCGAGACTCAGGAATCCGCCGCCGGCTGCCCCGCCCCCGTCTTGCGTCAGAGGCGGGGGAGGGGGAACGGGCGGGGCCAAGGCGAGAGCGCGCCAGGCGCGGGGGGGGTGCTGGGCCCCGGTCCGCAGGCGCAAAGAAGCCCCGGGCGCGCTTAGTCTATTCCCGCCGAGACCTGCAGGGGGCGCGCGGTGGAGGACCTAGAGGGACGCCGGTTGCTGCTGGGGCTCAGGTCTCGGCATCGGTCCCGGCCCCGACCCCGAACGCGGCAGAAATGCACAAGGTCTGCCGTCATCAGGGCCACGAGCAGCAGGCTGTAAAGGCTCAGCGCTAGGAGCGGGCCCGGACCCCTGTGAGAGAGGGGAGGGTGTCAGGATGCAGGCCCCAGCCGTTCTCGCCGCTTCATGTGTGTTACAGAGCCCCCCTAGAGTCTGGAGAAAGCTGCCCAGAAAAGTGCAGAATGTGTAAATACGAACTCAGGGAGCTCACAGGTACCCTGAAGTCATCCACGGACAGATTAGGATTGAAAACCCCGATGATAATACATGTTTAATCAAACCCCGACTGCAAGGAGATCCAACCAGTCAATCCTAAAGGAAATCAGTCCTGAATATTCACTGGACGGACTGATGCTGAAGCTGAAACTCCCAATACTTTGGCCACCTGATGAGAAGAACTGACTTACTGGAAAGGACCCTGATGCTGGGAAGGATTGAACGCAGGAGGAGAAGGGGACAATAGAGGATGAGATGGTTGGATGGCATCGATGGACATGAGTTTGAGCAAGCTCGCCAGGTGTGCTGCAGTCCATGGGGGTCGCAAAGAGTCGGACACGACTGAGCCACTGAACTGAATTCCAGATACATGTACTCCAGATTGCAAGATCCTTTCAGTATTGACATCCGTCCAACCCCACCTGCCACACAACACCTACAGTGACTCCCTGTTGCCGTTCTCACAGCCCCCTGAACTTTTCCTTCACAGATTGTTTTGTAATTATGTATTTAGGTGATTTTATGTTTGAGATCTGTCTGTAAACTACAAGCCTCCCACTACAGAAATTAGGAACAGAGTCCAAGATACTGGAACACCCTGTCAGCGTACCAGTGGCCCTGGAGTTGAGTTCTCACCTGAAGATAGGAGGAGGCCGAAGGGCAGACAGATTGACCTGGTTCAATGCCTCAAATTCAGCCTGAGTGCAGCAGAAGCCCCCTGCAGCCTGCAGGTGGCAGCAGTAGGCTTCCTCCGGGGTGTCAGAGAGACGAGGGCAGAAGAAACCCGGGTAGCGAAGGCCATCAGCATCCCAGGTGGTCTGGCACAGGTGGGGGTGGTGGGCCAAAGCTGAAGGGAGGGGTGAGGGGGGCTGGAGACAGGCAGGAGTGATCTACCCACATCCCACTCACCCCTTTTGGAGAGTAAAAGGGGTCAACTATTATCAGAAGGGCAGGCTTTCTCTCTCCTCACCAGCTCCCCAGAGTAGCCTATACCTGATAAAAGAGTAAGTACTGGAAGGGGTGGTGGGCAGAGGAGAGTGCTGTACCTGAGAGGGAGGCTGGCTGAGCACGCATCATCCAGCTGAAGAACAGCAGTAGCCCCACCGACAGGCCTGTCAGCAGAGGGCCTGACCTCCTCTGGAAGCCCATGAGAGGTCACCTCCACTTCCACCTCGGCCCTGGTCCTAGAAGCCCCAACAGCTCTATTTCTAAGCCACAGATGCAGACTGTAAGGAAATAAAAATCAAAGCACCGTTAACACAAACCTGAAGTTTCTCTGGCACAGACCTCTAGCGAGAGATGGAAGTGACTGAGTTTCTATCTTCTGTTGAAAAATATGGGGATTTGTGGCTCCATGCTGCCTAAGGTTCTCTGAGCTGAAGGGGGAAAGGCTCAGAAGGCTGGAGGGCTGAATGAGGAATGAGCCAAGAGTCAAGCCACTAGCCTGAAAAACAGACACGCGTTTAGAACCAGATTTGTTTCTCTCCACTCACTCTTAACTTTTAGGCTGCCGTGGAAGCCATGGGAATTCAGCTTGTTCCATTTCAGGCCCCAGAGACCTCGTATTCAGTGTTTGGGGCTTCCCTCTCTAACTTCTGCATCGTGGCAACCACCAAGACTAGCTGAAAAGCAAGAGGGAGTGCTCTCGTTAACTTGTCCCCTGAGTCCTCATTGGCCCCAGCTACCAGCCAAAGTACAAAAGCTGCTAATCAACTGGAGTAAACTTAGCAATCAGCCAATCCCACTTCACAGGGACAGCTCTTCCAGGGTCTCCCGGTCCCAGCAAACCTCACATTTCATAGATACTGTCTGCTGAGACAGGGGATTTCTCCAAAAGACCAGAGGCCACCAGCCCGCAGTGTTGTGTTGTTGTAGTGTCTACTGAGGCCTGACAACGTCATGCTCTCAGAACAACAGTGGCAATAATCATAAGCCCCAGGGCCCCACTGCAGTGCCTGGGGACTGAAGTAGGAACCCTCACGGCACAAGAAAGACATGCAGGTTTTGCTCCTGGTACCTGAGAGCAAAGAAAACAGTTCCTGCAGAAACAGCACTGCAGCCTGGGAGCCTAAGTCTGAAACCATCACGGAGGGCTCCCACTGTAAGCTGCAATTTCTAGAAGGTCAGATCCCAGGGGTCTACTGGGCCCTAGTGTGAGGCCTCTTTGCCCATAGCAACCAGGCCATTCTTGCAGGGAGAGCTATTTTTAGAGAACTTTGATAATGTTCAGAGCATTGGCAGCTTGAAAATTGTCTTTTCATGGCGGGACAGGGTCCTCCCCAGAGAAGTTGTCTCTGGCCCAGGGGCTAGGTGACTTGCTCTCCCTCCAAGTTACCACAGTCCTCTGCGCCTTCCTGCTCCGGACACAGTGAGGCCACTGTCTTCTTGTCTGTTTTCCTCCTTCCCCCAGGCTGCGGGCTCCCAGAGAGCCAGGCCATATTCTTCTTGCACCCTCGGCAAAGCACACTTAACTAGCAGCTGCGATGCTGTATACAGGCGCTTCCCACACCCAAGGCCCACCCATCAGACCCGGAAGAACGCATCCAGACCAGACTCCACCATCTCCCGGGCCTCCGCAGCGCCAGGGGGCGCTGTGGGCGCTGGGCCCACGCTCCCCGGGAGCTTGGGACCTAAGGTACCCGCCCCACCTACGCGATGGGCTCCGAGGTGGCCCAGCTGCTGGAGGCTGCTGACTTCGCGGCCCGCAAGCACCAACGGCAGCGGCGGAAGGACCCCGAAGGGACCCCCTACATCAACCACCCTATCGGTGGGCGCGCCGCCGGGGGAGCCACGGCTGTAGCCTCCAGGGGTTGGGGACCGGGAAGGGAACGCGGAGGGCGCGCAACTCCTCGGGCACCTAGTCGGTACCAAGCTTTGTGCCAGGCACAGTTCGTGTTTAAGACTCACAGCGACCTGGGGCGGTCGGCATGGCTGTTCCCTGTGTAGAGTGGACATCCAAAAAAAAAAAAGAGTAAAGGACTTGCCCACGGTCACCCTGCTAGTGAGGGGCGGCCACCTCTGGCTCTGCCGAACCCACATCACGCCGCCCTGAACCCCTCCTGATTTCCTGCTTTGCCCCGTCAGGTGTGGCTCGGATCCTGACCCACGAGGCGGGGATCACTGACATTGTGGTGTTACAGGTAACTTTCCTCCTCTGCTAGGAGGCTGGGCTGGGGATCAGGGGCCCCAATCAGCTTCGGGCACCCCTTGGCAGGCGTCCCAGGACTGAGTGGGAGCCTGTCCGCAGGCAGCCCTGCTCCATGACACAGTGGAGGACACAGACACCACCCTGGATGAGGTGGAGCTGCACTTTGGAGACCAAGTGCGGCGCCTGGTGGAGGAGGTGACAGATGACAAGACTCTGCCCAAGCTGGAGAGAAAGCGGCTGCAGGTGGAGCAGGCACCCCAGAGCAGCCCCGGAGCTAAACTGGTGAAGCTGGCAGATAAGCTGTACAATCTGAGGGACCTGAATCGCTGCACCCCAGAGGGTACGCTCTCCCCCACCTGCTCTGAGGGAAAAAGGAGGGGTATCCATCTTCTGAAGGCACAGGTTGGTCAGTTCCCCTAAAAGCCCAAGTGTTCTTGTTAATACCCTAAACTAATCTTACTAGACCCTTCTGATCTTTCATACGGTAGAAATACAGAAGCTGGGCCAAGGGGAAGTTTTCAGCACACATCCTTCCATCAGGAACTCATGGCCCCGCGCCAAGCCCCTCAGGAAGTGGGCAAAATCCAGGGCACTCCTGGACATCAACACGAGCTGTTTTCTGTCCACTCTTACGCAGGATGGTCTGAACACCGAGTCCAGGAATACTTCGAGTGGGCGGCACAGGTGGTGAAGGGGCTCCAGGGAACAAACCGGAAGCTGGAAGAGGCCCTAAGGCAGCTGTTTAAGGAGCGGGGGCTGACACTCTGAGTGGTGCTTGGAGCCATCCTTGCCCAGGCTAGAGAAGATGCATACTCCAGCCTTTCCATGCCTCCCAGGCTCCCTCCCTGGTTTGCTCAGCACAGATATTAGAGACCACAGAAAAGACAACGTGTCTTTTCTGACTCTGAAGATCTACCAACTAAGCTGAGCCCCAGGTTGTGGGATGATGCGCCCCATCCATTTCTAATGCATTCACTGCCCCTCTTCAGGCCTTGGGTCTGTTTGTTGTTTTGCACGGTGGGATCTCTGGCCCCTCAGGGACTTAGGCTTATCTATAAATGCTGGTCTGAAAATCATTATGCAAAATAAAACATTTGGATAAAGCTTTGAGTTGCTGCTGCTCCTCCTCCAGCCTCCCCAGTGGAAAACCGATGTGTGTGTGTCGGGAGGAGATATCTGCCCTTCTGTAGGGCAGGGTTCCAACTGTGTACCCTTTGGGACAGGTCCCTCAGGTTGAGGGCCTGAACCCCTCGGAGCTTGGTTTCCTTATCAGTGGGATAGGTTGTATAACTATCAGGGTTGAGCTAGGTGACATGCCTGACACATAGATGCTCAGAAATTGGTAGGCTTCCTCACTGAGGAAGTCGGGTGGGAAAGAAGTTGACGTACATATTGACATATGTATTGGAAAGAAGTGCCACCCTGCTTACTGGCAGGTCTGCTCAGCAGAGTCCCCAGCAACAACATGATAGGGCCTGTGAGGCGGGGAGGGTCCCTCATACCCCAGGTTGCCACGGAAACCTGCTGCGGTTGGCACCCCACCCTGTCTCACCATCATCCCATCTCTGATTGCTTTCATTGCTAAGCGACAGGAACTTCCAGGTGCCCCAGGAAGTGGCCTGGGAACTGACCAACCCTTGGAACCCATCAGGGTCTGGGAGAAGGGGCAGAGCTTTTCGAGGCATCCACCTGAAGGGATCAAGTGAAGTGTTGTTGATCACTGCTGAGCAGCTGAGGGTTATTCAGTTCAGTTCAGTCGCTCAGTTGTGTCTGACTCTGCAACCCCATGAATCGCAGCACGCCAGGCCTCCCTGTCCATCACCAACTCCTGGAGTTTACTCAAACTCATGCCCATCGAGTCAGTGATGCCATCCAGCCATCTCATCCTCTGTCATCCCCTTCTCCTCCTGCCCCCAATCCCTCTCAGCATCAGGGTCTTTTCCAACGAGTCAACTCTTCACATGAGGTGGCCAAAGTATTGGGAGTTTCAGCTTCAGCATCAGTCCTTCCAATGAACACCCAGGACTGATCTCCTTTAGGATGGACTGGTTGGATGAGGGTTATTAGCCCACTCTAAACGGGTACACTTGCGGGGGTGAGGAGGGTTGTTAGGTCAAATGCCACTTCGTGGTCACAAGATGATTGATGTTTTCTTTTCACATGTGTTTCCTAATTGTTCTTTGTAATAACTGGATGAGATAGGCAGGGTAGGGATTATTGTTCTCATTTTACAAAGATGAAATATGAAGCTCAGAGAGGTGAGAATACCATTAATGATTAAACAGAGTAGTGTCAAAATCAAGACCAGAATCCCTCTTTTTGCCACTGTGGGCCTTTTTAACCAAACAAGATTGACCACAATTGAGATTAACTCCAACCACGCTAGGACTTCCCTGGTGGCTCAGTGGTAAAGAGTCTGCCTGTCAAGACAGGGTGTATCATGGGGTTTGATCCATGGTCCAGGAAGATTCCACAAGGTGTGGCGCAACTAAGCCCATGTGGAGCAACGACTATCTCCACACCCTAGGGCCCACACACTGCATCTACTGAAGCCTGTGCGTGCCTAGAGCCTGTGTTCCATAAGCGAAGCCACCACCACAATGAGAAGCCTGCACACTACAACAAACAGTAGCCCCTGCTTGCCACAACTAGAGAAAGCCTTCGAGCAGCAACAAACACCCAATGCAAGCAAAAACAGTCTATATAAACCAAAGTACAACCACTGACATCAGGAAATTAATGTTAATACATTACTACCTTAAATCTCTGATAATAGAGGGCTTCACAATTTACTTGTATGCTTACTTTGGTTTTTGTTGGGCTGGGAATATGTCTGGGGACTTTCCAAGCAGTCCAGTGGTTAAGACTCTGTGCTCTCACTGCCAAGGGCCTGGGTTGAATCCCTGATTGGGGAACTAAAAATCCTATAAGCCTTGCAGCATGGCCAAAACAAAAAACAATTTTGCTTCTGGCCTAGAATTAGGTCAACAGAGATTCCTGGCCCCTCCGAGGATCTGTCTTTAACTGGATGCCATTTCTCCAGATCTGCACAGCCTCATCTTCTCTCATGGTGGTAGTTGTTCTCTCCTTTCTTAGTCAAAGGAGATTTCCTTTTGAGTATGACTATGCTTTTACATTTTTAATATTTTATTTAGCATTCTGAGGCACTAGTTGAGGGGGCAACAGAACAAGTGTCTACTCATTCAGTTTGAATGCACTTCCCCAGGCATTCTGACAAAGGAAACCTGTTTTTCCTCCATCAGTGAGCTTCGCAGGCCTCCATGCTGAATGCTGTGTCTTCCATCTTCAACCCTGTCGTGTTCCAAATGCCAAGGAAGCCTCATTCCCACCCCCACACAGGCTTCCTGTGCCTCGTTGTTGTTCAGTCGCTTAGCCTCAGATGCCTTTGCAACCCCATGGACTGCAGCATGCCAGGCTTCCCTGTCCTTCACCATCTCCCAGAGCTTGCTCAAACTCATGTTCATTGAGTTGATGATGCCATCCAACCATCTCACCCTCTGTCATCCCCTTCTCCTCCTCCCTTCAATCTTTCCTAGAATCAGGGTCTTTTTCAGTGAGTCAGCTCTTTGCATCAGGTGGCCAAAGTATTGGAGCTTCACCTTCAACATCAGTCCTTCCAATGAATATTCAGGATTGATTTCCTTTAGGATTGACTGGTTTGATCTCCTTGCAGTCCAAGGGACTCTCAAGAGTCTTCTCCAACAACACTGTTGGAAAGCATCAATTCTTTGGCACTCAGCCTTCTTTATGGTCTAACTCTCACATTCATACAGGACTACTGGAAAAACCATAGCTTTGACTATATGAACCTTTGTTGGCCAAGTAATGTCTCTGCTTTTTAACATGCAGTCTAGGTTGGTCATAACTTTCCTTCCAAGGAGCAAGGGTCTTTTAATTTCATGGCTGCAGTCAGAATCTGCAGTGATTTTGGAGCCCCCAAAAGTAAGTCTCTCACTGTTTCCCGTGCCTACTCCTAATTTCAGAGTTCTTTCAGTTCAGGTTTGTTCTCAACTAGCAATGTCTAGCAGATGGTGATTGCAGCCATGAAATTAAAAGATGCTTGCTCCTTGGAAAGAAGGTCATGACCAACCTAGATAGCATATTGAAAAGCAGAGACATTACTTTGTCAACAAAGGTCCATCTAGTCAAGGCTATGTTTTTCCAGTGGTCATGTATAGATGTGAGAGTTGGACTGTGAAGAAAGCTGAGTGCTGACAAATTGATGCTTTTGAACTGTGGTGTTGGAGAAGACTCTTGAGAGTCTCTTGGACTGCAAGGAGATCCAACCAGTCCATCCTAAAGGAGATCAGTCCTGGGTGTTCATTGGAAGGACTGATGCTGAAGCTGAAACTCCAATACTTTGGCCACCTCATGCGAATAGTTGACTCATTGGAAAAGACCCTGATGCTGGGAGGGATTGGGGCCAGGAGGAGAAGGGGATGACAGAGGATGAGATGGTTGGATGGCATCACTGACTCGATGGACATAAGTTTGAGTAGACTTTGGGAGTTGGTGATGGACAGGGAGGCCTGGTGTGCTGCAATTCATGGGGTCGCAAAGGGTCGGATATGACTGAACTGAACTGAGCAATGTCTAAGTCAGGAGCCAAAAATGAATGGACACTCTTTGCAGAATCACTTGGTCCTGGCAACTGTTAACGATCAATTTCCCTCTGACCCTAAGTAAAATTGAGGTTTGATGTGAAGGATCTAGTCTGTCATGGTTTTTTTTTTTTCCTGTAAGAATTGCTCCTTGAAGTGTTTGTTCTTTGTACACATTTTTTTGTTAGGGAAAAGCAAAAATTTAGTTCAAAAATCTCTCTTTTGGATGGGAAGCCTCATTCCTACCACTCACACTATGATTTCCTTCCTCTGAGTGCATGAACATCATTAGTTAAACATGGTGACAGTGTGGTACACAGGTCAATTTCAGGGTAAGGATGTCACTCTCTCCACACAGGTTATACTCATCCCCTAGGCAAGCTGAATCAGAGTGCAGTGTGGCCTGCCCACCCTGCACAGGGGGGGCCCAGTAAGTCAGCTGTTCTCTTCATGGTTCCAGCTGGCCACATAGTCCTCCGTTCTTCCTGGACACAAAATGGTTCTCCATGGGTAGAGAGCTGCAGAGAAGAATAGAATCCTATCCATTGCCAGTGGTTGAAGTTGTTTCTCTCATGTCCTGGCTCTGTGTGTGTGTGGTTTGTTTTTTTTATGTGTTTTATTTCACTGAAAATGGATTCGTGTAATAGCCTGTGTAATAGCCTGTTATCGATATTGTATAGTGGAAAGAACGCTAAATTGGCTCTTCCACTGACATGGGGGAGTTCATGTAAACTCTGTGGGTCTCAGCTTATTTGTAAAATGAGAGGGTTGGACTAAATGAGCTCTACATCCCTTTCTGGAACACCATATGTGTTTGTAATTGAAGAGAAATTCCATATTCCTTAACAGAGGATCCTGCATTGAAAGCAGGCACTCGCTCATGGGCAAACGGTATCGGCCCCCAGGGCCTCTTTCCTCCCAAATTCTCCCTTACTCCTAAGGTCCCTGGTTGATTTTTTAAAAAAATTAAACACTGAGAAATATTAATTACAAGTTACACGTTATCAAATTATATTGACACAATGATCTCTAAGTTCTTTCCAATTCCAGAGTATGATTATAGGTTAATGCACTTACATTCTTAATTCCAGGCATTGATCTTTTTTTTCCCCCTGTCGTGCTACATGGCACACAGGATCTTAGCTCCCTGACCAGGGATCAAACCTGCACCCCCTGCAGTGGAAGCACAAGTTTTAACCACTGGACCACCAGGAAAGTCCAGGTACTGATCTAACCTAGGAAAGAGACCAACTCTTAATCCCATGGTTTCTAACAAGGCTGTTGTATTCTCAACATCACATTTTATAAACTGGATTACTTACATACATATTTTAAGTATTTCTGAACTGGAAATGTGCATTCTTCTACAAAGGGCAAAAGAGGCATCATTTTTTTCTACCACATACCATAAAGGGAAATCTGTCAGAACGAAGTTGGTACAGTTATGAGTCCATACAGCAGTAATACTTTAAACAAATGGGATCAAAGTATGTGTAAAATTTAGTATCCTTTAAGAAATGGAAGCTGAAAAGTATATTAAGAAAATTTCAATCAAGCACAAGTAATCCACCTTCCTGAACTGCAAATACTTCAAGTATACATTAGGGATCTGGTTCTGGTTTTGATGTAACCCTCAGAATTATGAGGCCTGAGGGCCAGAGCTCCATGGGAAAGGGTTACTGCTAGCCTTAAAATAGTAGGCCCCTTTTCAAATTATAAGTGCAGCAGACTCACCTGGGAGCTTGTTTTAAGTGTGGATTCTCTGCTCCCTCCTCCCAGAGATTGGTTCAACAGGCTGTGCCAAGCAATCTGTTTCTCCTCCTGTGTGCTGGGGGAAGGTTTTATTTCTTGTTCTCATCACGTCTTGGGGACCCATGGCTCTGCTGCGCAGACGCCCCTCCAGCGTGCTGGCCGAAGGAGCAGCCCCGGCCAGCACAGGCCGAGCAGCTGGGCTTTCAATGAGCAATTCTGGTGATTGTGGACCACACCTTGAGCAATGCTGCCTTATGGGGTTCTAAGAGGCCAGTATGTAGGAATGAACACTTCAGTTCCTGGCACATCTAATACCTCCAAAGAGAACAGCCTTTATTTTACTAATTTCCTAGGGGGTTCACAGGTTCTCCCTTAAAACTGGATTACAAGTTATACTAGTAAATAACACCAGCTATAATGTAATTGCTTAGCATCCTTACTGAACATGATTGTAGTTCATATTTACTGAGCTCTTATATTAAATGTACCAGGCACTGTGCTCAGCACTTCATTCTTTGTGTGACAGAGAATGTGTCACATTCTCTGGTAACCTTCATTCTTTCGCTGTGACACAGACAGGATGCCGCATGTCCTGGCCTGGCAGCAATGACCCTGGGTGACCCAGAAAAATTCAGCTGGCCACTGCTCAGTAAGCCCCATGACTTGCTCTAAGGAGCTCAAAGCAAGTTATTCTCCTGAAGTGATCATACACACCAATGTGCTGCAAATATTTTCTCCCAGTCATTTGTGTTTTAATCTTGGTGGTTTCCATCATAAACAAACTTTACACATATTTTTGGCGGTAAAATCTGTTTATCTTCTCCCTTATTATAGCTTTTAAGTTTTCTGTCCTGTTCAGAAAAGACCTTTCCACACTGGAATACAAAAATATCCTATATTTTCCTCAGTAATTCTGGAGTTCAATTTTTTGTCTTTTCCCCTCTGGAGTTACTTTTTGTGGAATCTGTGAGGTAGAGAGCTCTTGTTTTAATAGATAGGCAGTTATCATAGTCTTTATTAAATAATCCATCTTTTTCCCACTTAAATACTCCTGTGTCCTGTACTGAGTCCCTCACACCTGGGTCTGATGCTGGGCTCTCCCTTTGATTCCAGCAGTCTGATCCCACCCCAGAGCTCCCTGGGAAATCTAGTGCCTTTTACCCAGCACGACTGCCCCACCCACCCTCTGCTCATTCAGAATTTTCTTAGTAGTCTCACACATTTACTCTTCCAAATGAACGCTGTTGTCATTCAGTCGCTAAGTCATATCCGACTCTTTGTGACCCCATGGAATGCAGGATACCAGGCTTCCCTGTCCTTCACCATCTCCCGGAGATTGCTCAAACTCATGTCCATTGAATCAGTGATACCATTCAACCATCTCAACCTCTATCATCCCCTTCTCCTCCTGCCTTCAATCTTTCCCAGCATTAGGGTCTTTTCCAATGAATAAGCTCTTCACATCAGGTGGCCAAAGTACTGGAGCTTCAGCATCAGTCCTTCCAAACAATATTCAGGGTTGATTTCCTTTAGGATTGACTGGTTTGATCTCCCTGCTGTCCAAGGAACTCTCAAGTTTTCTCCAACATCACAGTTCAAAAGCATCAATTCTTCAGCGCTTAGCCTTCTTTATGGTCCAACTCTCACAATTCATAAATGACTGCTGGAAAAACCATAGCTTTGACTATACGGACCTTTGTCAGCAAAGTAATGTCTCTGCTTTTTAAAACGCTGTCTAGGTTTGTCATAGCTTTTCTTCCAAGAAGCAAGCATCTTTTAATTTTATGGCTGCAGTCATCATCCACAGTGATTTTGGAGCCCAAGAAAATAAAGTCTGTCACTGTTTCCATTGTTTCCCCATCTATTTGCCATGAAGCAATGGGGCTGGATGCCATGATCTTAGTTTTTTGAATGCTGAATTTTAAGCCAGCTTTTTCTGGCTCTCCTCTTTCACCTTTGTCAAGAGGCTCTTTAGTTCCTCTTCCCTTTCTGCCATAAGGGTGGTGTCATCTGCATATCGGAGGTTACTGACATTTCTCCCGGTAATCTTGATTCCAGCTTGTGCTCCATTCAGCCCAGCATTTTGCATGATGTACTCTGCATATAAGTTAAATAAGCAGGGTAACAATATATACCCATTTTTGAACCAGTCCATTGTTCTATGTCTGGTTCTAACTGTTGTTTCTTGACCTACATACAGGTTTCTTAGGCAGGTAAGGTGGTGTGGTATTCCTATCTCTTTAAGAATTTTCCACAGTTTGTTGTGATCCACACAGTCAAAGGTTTTAGCGTAGTCAATGAAGCAGATGTTTTTTTGGAATTCTCTTGCTTTTTCTATGATCCAACAGGTGTTGACAATTTTGGAACCTGTCAAATTCCAAAAAGTATCCAATCTCACTGGAATACATTGAATTTATGGGATGATTTGCAGAGAACGATAAACTTTATAGAACTGTAACATGCATTGTTTGAGTCGACATACAGAATGCTCTATTAAGGTCTTGAGTTGATCCTCTTGGATTGTACTGGATGGATGTTTTGGAACTTTTGCTCACCTGTCTCATCTGCCACACTGCAGGGGTTAGTAGTGCCAGAACACAGCTAAGTAACTGTATGGGCTTGGTGAATCTCTGACTTTACTGGGAATGTCTGTGGTGGCTGGCTCTTTAGAATGCCACTGACTGTGGGTTTCAGATGGAGACACCTTTATCTAGGCTAGGATGTTTCTTCCTAATCTTTAACTCACTAAGAGTTTAACAAGGGATGGATTTAAAATTTTACCAAATATTGTTTAATAAGGAATAGATTTTAAATTTTACCAAATGTTCTTTCAGCATCTATAGAGACTATGATAATTTTTTCTCTAATAATCGAAGCCGCAATGAAGGCTGACGAGCAGCCACAGTGCCTCCTAATTTAGTCTATGTCTCCCTAGTTCCCCACAAAGACTTCTGCAGAAGGATGTGCAAGGAGAAGCTTCAGGCCTGCAAGGATGATGTCGGAAGCCTTCTCAAATTGGAAGCTTCACTTTCTTTTCAGGGAAAGGAAATGTGCCAGATCAAACGCCCCTGTGACAGGAAGTGACTCCTGGGGAGAGTGGTGGACAGCGTGCAGGAACCAGAGGAGTCAAGCAGGGTGGCCCCTCCCTCACCCCACAAATCAACACGCAGACCAAGTGCCCAGTCTGAGATGGGGGTTTTGGTACCTGAAGTGTCCTATGCCCTGCGGCCACGACAGTCATGAGTCCTTCCTGCCACACGGCAGCCCCTGGCCAGGGCGTGCAGGTCAGGGAGCACTTCCGAAAGGAGCTGTCACACAAACAGCCATTCCTTCTACTCCTCCACCCCACAGCTAACCCTCGGTACCCAGCCCCCTCCTCCTGGTGTTGCTCTGCTCCTGCTTGTCACATCAGGACATGTGTCCTTACACAACTACGGGACTCCCCTAGAGTCAGCTGTCGCCCACTGTGAGCCTGACGCCGGGCTGTGGCCCACTCAGCCTCCCCTGCTTCTCCTCCATCCCATTCGCGGAACAGGGTGAATGCCTGAGCCGGTGCCCCACGAAGTGGACACGCACACCCCAAAGCAGAGACTAGCACTGCCCCCTCTGAGCAAGGGCCTTCGCTGCTGCATCTCAGCGGCGCTGCCCTACCTATCCACCCAACACTGGGCCTGTGGGCTGCCCCCCTGCACAGAAGCAACGATAAAGGGAAAATGAGGGCAGAGCCCAGTCTGTCATGGTTCTGAGAGGTAGATCGGGACAGGATACCGGGTGTGGCTTGTCCAACCCGATCTCGTGTGAAGAGGCCAGTCTCCGTGGATGAATCTTCCTTTCAGGCCACAAGGAGACCTAGCCCAAGCGGAGGCGGAAGGTGGCGATCTCCATGGGCTCCACGTAGACATCAGTGATATTGGAGGGCGAGGCCAGAGGGTACAGCAGGGTCAAGGAGGTTGGCTGCAGGAAAACCACGTCCAGGCCATGGAAGAGGCTCCCCAGGGCCACCTGTGTGGAGGGAGAAGGCACAGGGCAGTGCGGGGTGCTGACCCACCATGTGCTGCTGCTCCTCCTCTACGTGACCTGGGTGAACCTCACGTCAGCACAGGCCCCCACACACAGCAAGCGCCTACACGCGCAGTCAGTCTGTAGAGTGCTGGGACCCCCTCTATGGACTCAGGGCAGGAACCGCTGCACTGAGCCGTGAGGTCTCTGATGACGGGGACCATTATCTTTTCTTTTTCTTCCCACACCATGCGAGGCTTTGCAGGATCTTAGTTTCCCAACCAGGGGTTGAACCTGGCCCACAGGAGGGAAAATGCTGAGACCTAACCACTGGACTGCCAGGGGAGTCCCAGCAGGGACCATATCTTGATTTACCTCTGAATCACTGGCACCAGCACACAGACGCATTGATCAGCGCTAGTCTTTGCTGGCTTAAACAATGACTCAAGTATGATGGCTTTTGGTTTTTAACTCCTGGTGTTTCTGTTTCTTTAACGCAGGTTCATACACGTGGAACCAAAGTTCTCTACCTGGACACCTCGTCTGGAACCGGCCCCTGCCAGGCCTCAGAGGCTTTGAAAACACATCACCAGCTTCTTCACCTTCTCTCCATGAAGTCCTAGAGTAACCCTGCCCACCTCCCCACTGGCTGCCTGCCTCACCAAGCTCTCTGCCTGCTGTTCCTGGTGCTCTGTTTCCCTGCCCTCTGCTCCCTTCCCACACTGGGGCCCTGCTCACCTTGCCTTGGCTTGTGGTGCAGTTGAAACCCAAGTTCTTGGCCTCAAGGCCACAGTCAAAACCCTTGCGGTGTAAGAGAAGCGCGGTTTCTGCCGAGGGCAAGCCATCCTCCTGGTGACAGACACACAGGGCAGCGCATGTGTGTGTGTGTGCATGTGTGTGTGCGTGTGTATGCATGTGTGGGTGTGGGGGCAGGGAGGGGTCTCTGCAGGGCTCACAGGTGGGGCAGCACCTCTGCCAGGAAGGCAGGGTTGGATGGAGAGGAGTCTGGGTGAGGAGAGGCAAGGTCCGCTCAGGAGATCCAGCGCTGAACTGGACACTCACCTCGGCCTGGAGCGTCCGCAGGTTGAGCAGGTGGAAGTCACAGGGCAGTGAGGAGGCCAGAGGGTGAAAAGAGCGCAGAGCGGGGCCGGGGGCCTGCCTCCTGGCCACGGGCAGGGCAAGCACAGGGGTGTTCAGGTACATGGACGTCAGGTGGCTGAGGAGGGACGGGTAGCTTGCAGAGGGGCCTTCGCGGACCTGCAAGACGGGCCGAGGCCTGGCTGAGGATGCGGCACCAGGGGAGCGGGAGGACGAAGTTCAGCCTGTCGGCTCCTGTGCAGAGAGCGTCCCTGACGTGTCCGGGTACACGGGGTGCCTGACTCCAGAACCCTTCAAGTGCAGTCGCTTCCTGCCTCACACAGCTTAGGACGGGTGACCTCACTAGGCCACCACACCTCTAACTCTGGGGGCTTTTTGCTTCCTCATGCTCCCGTCAGCAATGTCTCCTAGCACGTAGACTCTCAGAGTAGGGAGGAGAAGGGAAGACAGACAGACGGATGCTTCACCACGGAGGCTGGGCCTCTGATGGAGAAAGCCTCTGGGGCAACCCCAGTTTCGAGCTCAACCCGCCCGGATGCTTGAGCCCAGCAGTCCGCACCCCTTGGTCAGCGGACGGGGATGTCACACTCACAGGCCTGAGCTCAGCTTTCCTCCGTGGTGGCTGCTCCTCCACATTCTAGATTTACGTTCTTAACGTCTTCTCCCTATTGTCCAAATCTCACCCTTCCCTCAGACACGATTTCCATTCCCCTTGGCAGGGTCCCCATGTCCACCTCCAGTTTCTCCCTCCCAGGGCTCAGCTCAAGCCACCAACACTGCTTCCTGCTTGAACATCCTTGCAGCAGTCACCCCTGAAGACCCACCCGGGTCCCCTGTGTGGGAGTGATATGCCTAAAGCAGAGTCCTAACACAGCATTCCTTCAGCTCAGGTGCCTCACCGGCCTGCAGGAGGAAGTCCAAAGTCTTCACTAGGCACTCCAGGCCCGTTTTGTCTGCCCCAAACCACCCTCCATGGCAGCCCACACTGGCCACGAGAACTTTCTGCAATCGTGGAAATACACTATATCTGCACTAGGACAGCAGCTACCAACTATCTGTGGCCACTGAGCCACTTGGAATATGACTAGTTTGAATGAAGAACTGAACCCGTTATTATATTTAGTTTTAAATACATTTAAATGGCCACACATGGCTAGTGGCTGTCACACCAGACAGGTGGTTCTGGTCCAAATGAGTGAATTCACAGCCCTTCACATTCTTTCTTGCCTCCTACTCTGTGCCTTGGTTCAAATGTGTAGGGCAGACCCCCGCTCATCCAAGACGCTCATGGATGACACCTCCTCCAGAAAGCTGTCCTGGATTCCACTATGTTCTCTCATTCCTCAGGACCCATGGACATACCCATTTTCTACTTTTAATCTGCATACACAGCTCATCCCCCACCCCTACTCACGAGTCAATTCCTAGAGCGCAGAGTCAGCATCGTATGCATTTGCCGCCCTCTCAGCCCTCACAGCACAGCGAGAACCCAGCAGCTATTTGACGAGTGAGTGACCAAGCCCCAGACGGGGGATCGGGCAGCAGGCTCTGCCACCAGGGACTCCAACTCCAGCTACACATCACTAAGGCTAGTTTGACACCCCGTCACTGGCCCTTACCTCTCGGTTCCTGTTCCTGCTGCTGTGAAAGATCAAGCCCCTAAACATGGCTGCCAGTTTGGAGAAAAAGCCAGGCTGGTGGGGGCAAAGAAAGCCGTGAGATGATTGGGACAGCAGCAGAGAGGGGAAGAGGACACAGGGCGGGTGGGGAGGTGAGGGATGAGCATGAGAAGGCAGACAACAGCGAGCTGTGGAGAGGGAGGCGCCAGGCTGCATGAGATGGAGCAGCAGAGCGTCAGACTCACTTCCCGCCACCCCGGGATCAGGCCCTACTCTGGCTCTACCTGCCCGCCTCGAGGAGGCTCCCAGGCCGGGGCTGGAACCCAGGGCCACCCGTGGGCCTAGCCTGACCTGGCTCCCGGGGGGAGGCCCAGAACTCACCTCCCTGCCCAGGGTTCGCCGTTCCAACAGGAGGCGGAAGTGGTTGCAGGTTCTCTTGTTGTCCTTGAGCCCCTGGCCGAGGCCCCGGTTGTCGTCCTGCATCAGTCTCCGGTCCAAGATCACCTCTAGCTGGCCTGGGGGAGTTCACTGTGAGCCCCCGGCCTGCCTCCCTCGCCCCCAAACAGATGCTAGCCTCTGGAAGAAGCCCACCGAAGGCCCGAGGGGAAAGCCCAGCTGGAAGGCGAGTCACTCAGGGAACAAAGCAGCCAAGAAACGGGGCGATGGAAGGGGCCGAGGGAAGGGCTGTGACCTGGAGGCTCGCTGCCCATGTGTGTTCTGTGGCTCGGGAGCAGGGCAGTCTGGGCGCCCAGGCAGGGACCCATCTCTGGGCTGCCTACATGCAACAAAGCAAGCAGCAACCACAAAACCCTGTCAACCGCCATGGGAAGCTGCTGCAGAGGCCCTGACCCAGGCCAGGCTTCGTCAGGTTGGGCAGATTTTGTTGTGAGCAGAACAGATGCCTCCTGCCGTGGTTCTATGCAGGACAGACGCCAACTCCGCCCACCACATCCGTCAAAAGGAGGCAGCGAGAGGACAGTCCCACAGCAGGTGACCACCTCTCCTTGCCTTTAAAAATATGCCTGGGGGAGGGGCTCAAGGCGTACATACGTTGGAACGAGGATTTTTCTCCAGCACATTTTTTTTCAAGACTCTCTCGAAGGAAGCCCATACAGAGAGCTCTACCCACCCTCCCGTATCCCCTGCCCAGACCCTGATTTCTGTACCTCCTTGGTTTTTACCCTGAGCAACCACAGAAAGACACCCCCAATCCTAAAACGGACCCCTTGCATGTAAAACTGCCACTGTGAGCGCACTGTTTTCCGAAAGGGCAGGCGGACCGAGGTGGGACACTCGGCTGAGTGAGGAGCCTTACAGCCGGGTGACCGTGGGCAAAGGGGTGGCAGAGGCACAGGCCTTCCAGCAGGGTGGTCAGACCCCCACTGTGCTCGTGGCTGGCCCCGCGGAGCCTGGATCGGGCACCCTTGGCTCAGCCCTGCACAAGTGTTCCAGCCCAAAGATGGACAGCCTGACGGCCTCGGAAGGCAACAAGTGCCAACTGTTCACTGTACCCCGAGGACACAGGAGCCACCTGGGCTGGCCCCGTGTGGCCGGCTCCAGGTCAGTCCTCTCAGGTCCTCCTTTTGATTCTCAAGACCATCCTTCTCTGTCTTTTTGGTCATTGTCTTCTAATGACGGAAGGCGGGACATACTTTTCTCTTTTGCTGGATAATTCATCCTAACCCTGAAGACACTGTTCCACCTGTCCCTACCCTGTCCCTCCCAGGAGAAGGCGCACACCCACCTCAGCTGCCGATCCCCCTCAATGCCCGCTGCTTCTGGAGGGGATCCAACAGGCCGCCCCCTCCCGTCACTCCCACAGCTGCCGGCACTAGGAAGAGGGGGCGACAGCGGGTGGCAGCCTTCCTGTCATCTCCCACTGGGCCTGTGGCCGACAGAGAGGGAGAGGCCCACGAGGGGACAGACCTCAGGGGCAGGGATGGGCTTCTCAAGCTTGCCCTCTACACCTCCCCCACCACACACACACAGCGCCTGCTCCCCACTCACCATTGTGGAGGCTGGAGACGCCCAGGGCCTGGGCCGTGTGCAGCGTGAGGCGGTTCCGAGCGTCCTGGAGGTAGGCCATGACTGGCATGGGGTAGAAGTTGGCCTGCAGGGGCAGCTTTTTCAGATACCGTCGGGGCTGCACCTGTGGGCAAGGCCAGCCAATCAGGGGCATCCCGGCCCCCTTTGGGCCCCATCAGTCTCCGATTCCTCCTCTTACAGAGCAGATCAGCAGCCAGGCCTGTGATGCAGGCAGTAAACACTGTCAAGCCCTGTGCTCCACGGGGTCTCTGGGCCCCGGGCCTGAGGCGTCACCTGAAAGCCATTGAGGTCCGTGAAGAAGACGCCCTGGCTGTCGACGTCCGTGTGAATGCGCAGGGCCAGCTCCTTATTAACGTAGTCCCGGATGTCCACCAAGGACGACACATCCAGGGACAGCCCCTCCACCCCTGGGTGCAGGACAAAGAGAGAGGCTGAGTGGAGGGAGCCACAGCCAGAGAGGGTGCCCCAGGGGAGTCCCAGTACTTCCGGCCAAGCTCTACTCCACGAAGGCTACACAACATGCTTTCTGGGGACAGACGTGTGAACAGACACAGACAGCAGGCAGGAGCAAGAGAGCACCAAAGCCCACGGAGCCCACACCCTCCTCCCCGTGCTCCCCATCTGCAGTGCTCACCTGGCAGGTTATACAGCCGGACCACTTGGTGAACGTGCTCGTAGCAGGCAACCACCTCTGAGAAGAAAGGGCCTTCAGTGACGCGCAGCACGGGTGGGTCCCTGGGGACGTAGGGCTGGGGAAAGAGCAGGGGGCAGCTGAATCCACGGCACGTAAGCAAAACAGGAGGAGCCGGCCGCCGTCAAGCAGTGGGACTTGCTGCCAGCAGGCTCTGGGCTGAGACCCCAGCCAAGCCGGGCCCAGGCCCCAGGTGGCGCTCCTTGAGCCCTCGCCCCCGACGGAGGCAGTGGGTGAGGCGCCCTGGCAGGCAGGGGATGCCCTGGAGAAAGGCCTGCGCCCCTCCTCATGCCCGCCGCTCGTGAATCCTCCCAGGGCCCCCTGGGGTTTGTGGGGTATCCTCAGGGTACCTTGGCCTCGCCGTCAGGCAGGAAGAGGTAGGCGCCACTCTTGTCTTTGGATGAGCGGGTGCCATAGACGAGGAACTCCATGTCCACCCTCTGTTCCTGCTCCTCATCCACCCTTCGGACACTCTGCCAAAAAACACAGCCCTGACCCCTGGCCCCACACCAGCACATCAGGCCTGCCCCCTGGGAGGGCACGGACGAACTTCCCCAAGGAGACCAGCCCTGCTTCCCTATGCTGTCGGCTCGGGGCCAACAGGGCCCACTCCCAGGTCCACCGCCAGTCTGGTGGCAGTGCTCACAGGCCAGAGGCAGCTCGCGTGACCCGCTCCAGCTCCCAGCCCCTGGCCCTTTACCTTGAGGAGCCCGGTAAGGCCTGAGAACCAGACCTGCATGTAGCGGTTGCTGAGGGCGAAGTCACTGGTGCCCGAGTCAATGACCCGGAGAGGGAACACCTCATTCCTGCTGACCGACAGCGGCCGCCCGTGTAGGTAGATGCGCACGGAAGAGGGCAGCGTGCGGGGCCCATCCAGGCCCTGCTGCAGCTGCAGGATGCCAAGACCCAGCGCTGGCAGGCGGACAGGCAGAGACACCTGCAGGCACGGGAGGGGTGCGGGCCTTGGACACGGGCCCGGGGTTCTGGCCCAAGAGCCCGAGCAAAGCCTGCACCCACTGGCGGGGGGCGCCTGTCACCTCTGAAAGGGCAGGTGAGGCGACTTGCCCCTCATCAAGACTTTCATGAGTCTCCAATGATACTCGAAAAACCATGAAAAGGTAATCACACATAAGATTTCAAGAAAAATCTGCTGAATTAATGAATAATGGAACGACGTAGCTGCCATCCTTCCTACTGTCACACTACAACAAACTTCACCTTCCTTTCAAGGACAGACTCAAACCCCAGGAGTGACTAAACTCCGGGTAACCCCTCTCCTCAAAACGCCAGTTCCCAACACGGGGAGTAAGAGGCTACGAGCAGGAGGTTGGGAAGCCAGTGTCGAGAGACAGCCTGAGGCCCCAGGGAGAGGCCAAGGATCAGCACAGAGGACTGTGGCGGGGCCCCACTTGCCGAGCCCCCCTCACCTGATAGACGTCAGGGACCATGTCGGTGGCAGAGCTCCAGTGTGCGCTGAGCTGCACAGCCAGGGGCTGACCCTCCTCTGAAAGCACGCGCACCCGGGGTGAGCTCACCAGCAGGGACACCACGCTGAGCCGCTCCTGTTCCAGTGGGTTGAACAGTACCACGTACCTGTGAGGAGAAGGCAGGCTCACCCAGGAGGCCCCTGCTCTGGGGGAATGGGAGCAGGGAACATGGCCAGGCCAGCAGTCTTTCAGAAGTGCGGCAGCAGCTGGGAAGGGTGGAGAGCCAGGGAGGGGCTTTGCCTCCGTGCCCGGCTCACCTGGGTGAGGATTCCAGCTGGATCACTGTGCGCTCTGGAAGGGCGTCGTGATTTAAGCGGGTGTCATCCTGGAATTAAGTCAGGGGGAGGGAAGAACCATCGTATGGCTCAGCCTGACTCAGAGACTTGCCTCCCCAGACCCCACCTGTCCTGATGGGGACCAGCAGCTGTGCTGGGCAGGGATCTTTCACCCCAGGATGGGGAGGGAAAAGAAGAGCAAGGCCCTTGCACCACAGCTCTCGGCCCAGGCCCGCACACCAGAGGTCCCCTCGGGCAGACACAGGAGCGGGGCTCACCATCTGCAAGAAGGGCACCTCTGGGTCAAAGTGGTAGGTCTTCTTGTCCCCCAGAACCAGGTAGTGAGCTGCATTAATGATGACCTGCTTCAGGCTGACAAGGGAGCGCAGAAGCCTGGGAGGGCAGGCAGGAGAGGGATCAGGGGAGAGGTGACCACCGAGAGACTGTCCACCCACCTGCAGGGCGAGCCTTCAGCCGGCCAGCCCACCGACCACTCGGTGCATCCTCATATTGGGGATGGTGGGCAGCAGCATGGAGAAGAGGAGAGGGCTCCCACCTGACCCCATAGTCCACCACAACGGCCTCCTTGGCGGTGCCCGTGATGGCGTCGTGGTGCTGGAAGAGCCCCAGAGTGCGCCGTGCATCCGTCAAAAGGGCGAAGTTCGAGAGCGGGAACTGGCTGGCCAGTCCAGTGCGACGGGCGTGAGCCACAGCCAGGCTGTACAGAATCTCTGCGCCCCTGCCCAGATAGACAAGTCGGCCTCCTGCCACACAGCTCCGCTGGGCCCACCCTCGCTCTGCAAGCCCCACGCCTCTCCCTTCTTCCCCTTCTGTGTCGTGGTCGCCATGCCCTTCGCGTCCCCGCTCAGCCAATCCAGCCCCTCCTTGAACCCATCTCCCTCCAGCCTGGCAGCAGGACCGTCTCACCGCAGGTGCGCTTCCAGGACTCGGTCCAGGTTCTTGTAGAAAGGCCGTGAGGTGAAATAGCCTGTCCAGTAGTGGTCCTCCCGGTCGGCGTAGGAGAAGAAATCCCCGCTCAGCACAGGGAAACCTGGAGGCCGGGCCCCCGGCTCCACCCCTGTCCTCTTGTAGAGAGCGTCAAAATAGTCGGAGAGGGTGCCAAACTGGGCCTGTGGGGACCCCAAAACACCCTTCCATCAGCTCCAGAGTCTTCTGGGAATTCTGGCTCCCCGCCACAGCTGGGGGTGAGGGGGAGCAATCTGGTCTATGCAGAGGGTAGTCCCTATGTAGCCTGGACCTCACAGAAGCTGGGGAGCCTGGGAAAGAATTGTGACAAAGAAGGAAAAACACACCCAAGAACTGTGAATGCACCCCTGCTCTGGAGCGGTATGGGGGAGCAGCAGACCTCACAGGAGCGGCTGGGCTGCAGCCCCGCCGAGGCCCCCTCCCAGCTCAGTGTCCCCTCACACCTGCACGTGGAGGTCAGGCTTGCTGTTGAGGAAGTCGAAGAGCCGCTGGTAGTTGAAGAACTGGGCGTCCCACTCCTGGGGCTTGTCATAGCGGAAATCATCGCCCAGCGGCACCAGGAGCACGTTGCTCCGGAAGAGCCGGGACTTCTTCCTGTACTGGTCCAGGAGCAGGCCTGCCCTGCGGGTGGGGAGGGGAACCGGCTCACACGGAGCCTTATCACCGGATCCTGAAGGGAGCCAGCCTGAGAGGCGCCCCCTCATACACCCCTGTCACGGACTCACTCGGCTGGTGGGCAGGAAACCCAGCTCCAGGGAGCCCGGGGTTCTCTGGGCAACTAGAGAGTTCTTCCTGAGGCACGGCTTCAGTTCCCTGGCCCCAGTTCTGCCCTGCACGCCACACAGAACAAATAAGTCCTCCATGCCCATGTCGGTCCCTCAGACAATCAAGATGTGCAAGCGTGCCCCTGGGCTTCCTCATCAGGCTCTGCAAGCCCCGCTCTTCCATCCCTACTCTTGCGTCTCTCTGGTTCCTACAGAGCAGCTGCGAACCCACTCACCGGCAGGTCTCGGAGGAGCCCATCAGCCACACCTCAGAGTGCAGGGCCCAGCACTGACTGTGCAGGTCCAGGGGAAGGCAGGCCACACTCGGGCACGGCCAGAGTGGCCGTGTGTTCACACAGGCCCGTTTGGCAGCCCCTACTCTCACCCCACCGTGCTGAGGTTAGGGATCATGTTTTCTGTGCATGCGGCCCAGCAAGACCTTTTCTCATCCTGAACTTTCCTATCCTGTTTACGGACGCTAAGGATTGAACCTTACAGTTATATCTAATACAAATAAAAGTCTTATCTGGTTGGATTCAGCCCACATTTCAACCTCTTGAGATCTTCTGGGATCCTGACTCTGACACTCCAGCCAGAGTGTGATGTGGCACCGCCCCGGAGTGAAGAGCCCCGACTCGGGCTGGGTGACACCAATGCAAGCCGTGCATGCACTAGCTGTGCCACCTTGGGCAACTTACTGAAGCTCTCTGGGCCTCAGTTTCTATCAAATGAGGATGACATCAGTACCCACTATCACAGTATTGTGAGATTTAAAATGAACTGAACTAATATTTGTTAAACACTTAGAATAGTGCCTGGCACATAGTAGTAACTATATATAAACATGTTATTTTCTTTTTCATCCCAATCACTAATATAATCAATAGAAAAACAGAGCCCTGTCGCATTAAAGCCTCTCTTTTTAGACAAGTCTGATAAGTGGCATGTTGTGTGTGTCACAGTTCAACCAGCCACTAATGTACTTGGTCCAGTTTGTTCTTTGCCATCTTGTTCTCAAGGAAGTGAAGTGAAGTGAAGTCGCTCAGTCATGTCCGACTCTTTGCGACCCCATGGACTGTAGCCCAGGCTCCTCTGTCCATGGAATTTTCCAGGCAAGAGTACTGGAGTGGGTTGCCATTTCCTTCTCCAGGGGATCTTCCTAACCCAGGGATCAAACCCGGGTCTCCTGCACTGCAGGCAGATGCTTTACCATCTAAGGACTCCTCAAATGCTACCTTCCCCTAATTTATCAACCCTGTAAGCCTTTTAAAGGAGAAAATGAGACTATCTCCCATGACTTGCTCTGTAAACCTTGCCTGGCCTTAAATCACAGCTGTGGCTCCAAGAAAAAGTGTGCCTTAAAAGCCCAAGGTTTTTACTTGGAAGCAGCATTTAGATTTTTGGATTCTAGAAACAAAAGACTACTTTCTTTTGCTTTTGGTCACATGTTTCACCTCTTGGACGTCATGGAAACTGGAGTATTGCAACACAAAAACCAGTTCAACTTGTTACATTCTTAAAGCCAGTCCAGTTCTGGCTGAATCATTGTTTAGGTCTCTCTTAACCCACCTTTTCCTGGGGGAGCCATTTCAGCATTATCTTTAGGGATCCCCAAGGGTTTTCTCAAAGGGAATGGGTCTGTTTTCTGTGGGGCAGGACAGAATGTGCATCTGAATGAGATTCCAGGTGCACGGAGCCTGAGGATCCTGGCTGACTTCAAGCCAAGGCAGGAGGCCTGAGCTTAATGAAGGCACAGCAGGCTGAAGGTTGGAAGGCGCTGCACTAATTTGAGAATCATTTGCCTCGGAGGCAGTCCACTGGCTCCAACATTAGTTTATAAGGACACTGGAAAACACACTCATTTGGGAAAATAAAGCCCTTCTGGAAAAGGTGGGTCCTTACAGCCACTCTGGTTTTTCAGGAAAACGCACTAAAAGAATTGTCACTGAAAGGGCTGTGGGCCTGAACTCACCAGCCGACCCTGCCCCCATCTGATGAACGTGGAACCTGAAGCCCCGCCTTGCAGCAGAGCCCAGACGTGTCTGCAGAGGGGGAACGGCGCCACCACACCCAGTCCAGGGCTGCCAGCAAGTACCTCTCGGCCACATTGGCCTCCGTGATAGCCCGGGGCGGCACCTTCCACGGGCAGCTGATACGCCCACCAGGCAAGCGCTTGAAATCGAACTGGCAGCAGATTTTGGGATCCGGGCCACACGTATGGGGGACATCGTAGCTGTAGAAAGGCATCATGTGGCAGAAGATGTCTGTGCTGGCGTCCGAGTCTACAGAAGACACGCCAAAGAGTCAGGTCCTGGAGCTGGGCTCAGGGAAGCCGGCGGGGGAGGTAACTACTCCAGCTAAAGGCGGGAACTACACTCAAGGCTACGAGAACATGGTGGCCAGGGTCAGGATCAGGGAGGGCAGGGGAGCCCATGGCTCCTCCAGGGGACAGACAGGCTCCGCAGTGTCCAGGGATATCAATGCGATCCCCTACCTAACCTAAAGGCTAGCGCTTCTGATGGTCTACACCAATGCTCTGAAAGGACTGGTGGGTCTTATTTCTGAAACCCCTGCCTTCTCTCGGGAGAACTACCGCTGCGACCCCCTCCACCCTACCTGGCCTTACCCCAGGTCTGCCTCCACATGAACTCCAGGCTGTGGCTGGCAGCGAAGTGCTTCTTGATGGCATAGTGCACCCTCTGAATCAGCATGCTGGTCAGGTTGGCACGGCGCAGCAGGTAAGGCATGGTGGGGCTGTACCCAAAGGGGTCCACCGCCCAGCCTGAGCGTGGGGTTGCACCTGGGCAAGGGCACAGAAGTCAGAGGCCTGAACGCCCCAGGGCCTGGCCACCAGGTCCTTGGCCCCACAGCCCCTCCTGCCATCACCCTGCAACCATGCTGGTGCAATCAGCCTTGAAAGGAAGCATCCCCTGCCCACCCCGGGCCTTAGAGCCCCACTGCTGTCCTCTGGCCCAGTGATAGGGGCAGACTCCGGCTCCTGAGACCAGACTCACCCAGGTTCTTCTCCAGCCACTGGTGGCCCTCAATGAGCTGGTCAATCAATGCAAAATAGTGGGAGTTGGCCTCGTCTGGCATCACCCAGCCTCCTGTTGCAATCTCCAGCTGCCCGTTTCCCACCAGCCTGGAGTTAAGGGTGCACACTCAGCATGGGGTAGAGACCCTCTGCCCAGTCCTGCCAACCAGAGGAGGGGACCTGTGTGCACTGGCCTCACTGAGCCAGTTGACCTGAACCCAGGACCAACCACGGGAATAGACACACGCCCTCCTTTCCCCCAGCCAACCTCCAGCTGCACTGGCTCTGTTCCTCCCGGACTCGGTCTGCACTTCCAGGGCCAGGCCCTACATTTTCTCTTCGCTGGGCTCACACTACTGTGATTTTCCCTAATACGAGTGACCCTCAAATCTGTTCCTGCCTCCTCATCCCAGGTCCCGTTACCATCACACCTCATCTCTGCTCTGTCTCCTCCTGCCTCTCCCTGGCACCCACAGCTCCAGGAAAGGACTTCACACCCATCCGAGGACCCAGAGGGCCCTCCTGCCTCCCCAGTGGGCACTGGCCTTCGGACTGCTGCTCTCTTTTGGGCACTGATGTTGTCCCACCACTTGGCGAAGAAGGAGACTTCTGCCCAGATGAAGCGCCGCCGGGGGTCCTCCTGCAGCTTGGACACCATGTTGTTGAGGATGTGTTGGGTCTGTTCTGTGTAGTACTTGTCAAAGGTCTTGAGCCAGCCTGGGGGAGCCAACAAAGGGTCCCCTGAGGATGCCATCATCTTCTCCAACTGTCCCTCCCTTACCTTTGCCACCAGAAAGTCCACCCAAGCCAAAGCAATCTTGAGAAAGAAAAATGGGACTGGAGCAATCAGGTTCCCTGACTTCAGACTACACTACAAAGCTACAGTAATCAAAACAGTATGGTATGAGCACAAAACCAGAAATCAACAGAGTAGGATAGAAAGCCCACAGATAAACCCACACACCTATGGTCACCTAACCTATGACAAACGGGGCAATGGAGACTAGACAGTCTCTTCAGTAAGTAGTGCTGGGAAAAGTGGACAGCTACATGTAAAAGAATGAAATCAGAACATTACCTAACACCATACACAAAATAAACTCAAAATGGATTAAAGACCTAAACCTAAGACCAGATACTATATATAGCTCTTAGAGGAAAATGTAGGCAGAACTCTCTGACATAAATCACATCTTTTTTGATCCACCTCTTAGAGTAATGAAAATAAAAACAAAAATAAGCAAATGGGGCCTAATTAAACTTAAAGGCTTTTGCACAGTAAACTATACACAAAACAAAAAGACAACCAACAGAAGAAAATATTTGCAAATGAATCAACCAACAAGGGATTAATCTCCAAAATAAACAACTCATGCAGCTCAGTATCAAAAAAATAAACAACCTGACTAAAAAAAGGGGGCAGAAAACCTAAATAGACATTTCTCCAAAGATATACAGACAGCAGCCAAAAAGCATGTGAAAAAGTACTCAACACTGTTAACTAGTAAAGAAATGCAAATAAAAACTACAATGAAGTTATCACCTCACACCAGTCAGAATTCCCATCATCAAAAAGTCTACAAATGCTAGATAGGATGTGGAGAAAAGGGAGCCCTTCTACACTGTTGGTGGGAATATAAACTCATATAACCATTATGGAGAGCAGCATGGAAGTTCCTTAAAAAAAACTAAATATAGAACTATTGCATGATTCAGCAATCCCACTCCTGGGCATATGCTTGGAGAAAATCAGAATTCGAAAAGACACACACACCCCAATGTTCACTGCAGCACGATTTACATTAACCAAGACATGGAAGCAACCTAAATGTCCATCGACAGAGGACTGCATAAAGAGGATGTGGTGTATACATACAGTGGAATATTAGTCATAAAAAAGAATGAAAGAAATACCATTTGCAGCAACTTGGATGGACCTAGAGACTGTCATACTGAGTGATGTTAAGTCAGACTGAGAAAAACAAATATCATATGATACTGCTTACATATGGAATCTAAAAAGATGGTACAAATGAATTTATTTAGAAAACAGAAAACAGACCCACACGCATATAAAACAAACTTATGGTTAGCAGGAGAAAGAGGAGAGAGGAATAAATTGACATAAACACACTACTATATATATAAAATAGATAGCTAATAAGGACCTACTGTATAGCATAGGGAACTCAATACTCTGAAATGACCTATAAAAGAAAAGAATCTATGAAAGAGTATACATATGTATAAATGGTTCACTTTGCGGTACACCTGAAACTAACAGAACATTGTAAATCAACTATATTCCAATTAAAAAAATAAACAGGGCTTCTCTGGTGTGTCAGTGGTAAAGAATCTGCCTGCCAGTGCAGGAGAGATGGGTTCGATCTCTGGTCCAGGATGATCCCACGTGCCTTGGGACAACTAAGCCCAGTACCACAGCTCCTGAGCCTGTGCCCTAGAGCCCGGGAGCAGCAACTACTGAGCCCGAAAGCTCAGGAGCCTCCTGTGCTCTGCAATGAGAGAGGTCACCACAATGAGAAGCCCTCACATCACAGCCAGACAGCAGCCCACGCTTGCCACACCTAGAGAAAAGCTCACCTGGCCACAGAGACCCAGCGCAGCCACACAAACAAATTTAGCAAAAAAGAAAAAGCGCTCTGCTTGGTCCCGGGGTCCTCCGGGCACTCACGTACCCGGGTCATTGTGAGAGTGGGGGACCACGAACACCTGCAGGCTTTCGGTGTCCCAGTCGCGGGGGCTGTAAGAGATGTCAAAGCCTTGCTTCCACACGCCGCCATCCACGTTGTCAAACGGTAACTCCTCTGACACAGTCAGCATCTGCCAGGCAGGAGGAGAGCAGCTCAGGGCCCCGGCCCCGGCCCCCGGGGGTCCCTGCCGGCTCTGACTCTTACCTGCAGCTCTGGCTTCTGGCCTCGGCCCCCCAAAGCAAACTGGCAGTCTTGAGGGGAGATGGAGAAGAAGCTGGGCCGGGGCTCTGGGGGCACCACCCAGGAGCCGTTGGCCACATAGTAGGGCAGCAGGGCGGGCGGGCCCTCCACGTTGGCTGTCAGCTCCAGCACAGAGTCCTTGATGTGGCTGATGATCTCATGGTTCTCCTCCAAGAGCTGCTCCAGCTGTTCAATGCGGTTCTGCAGCACAGATATCTGACTCTGCCCCAAAAAAGCAGAAAGCAGTCACCCCCAGCTCCCTATGTCACAAGGAGGATCACTGCATGCGGCTCACTGCCTGAAGCCTGACTATGATCCTTCCTTCCCTAATCAAACGCAGGACCAGGAGCCTAAAGGGCCAGAAGGTGAGGGGTGTGGTTCGAATCACTACTGAGGACTGCAGCCCACTTGAGCTGGGAGTATCCTCACTCTCTAGCTTATGGATAGCAAGGATTTCACCTCCCATGCCTATTCTCGACAATCATGTTGCCTACCTGGAGCACCATGCTGACAAGGACTGCACCAGGGCTTAGTGGGAGGGAAAGCTGCAATCCACAAGCAATGTCTGCCAAGAATTCAGGCAGACAGAGCAGCAGTACCCAGTGCCATTTTTCCTCTCTTTCTTTTTTGCCATCATTGCCTACAGCTTTCTAGAAAATCTGCCTGTTGACCTGGGCTGCCATGACTCTCTAGCTGGGGCAATAACCTGATCCTGGATAAGTTATGCATGCAGAGGTTAGCAGCCAGGACTGACTCACCCGGGGGAAGTTCCCACCGTTCTGGTGTCGAGCAGGATCATGTTGTACTCGGTCCAACATGAGGTAGAGCGAGAAGACAGCCACGCAGAAGATAGCAGCCCCACACACTGTCACCTGCTTTTTCAGCTTCATACTGGCCTCCACACACACCTGGCTGGAGGGACATCAGATGTAGCTCCGGCAAGCAAAAATCCCTTGGTGGTCTTTCCACCAAATGTCCCAGTGAGTTCCTGCTCCCGAGGAACACCAATCTGCCTGAATCCAAAGAAACAAAAGCTTCTCGTGCTCTGTGATGACCTGGCAGGGCAGGATGTGGAGGCAGCTGGAAGGGAGGTTCAAGAGGGAGGTGACATGTGTATACTTATGGATAACTCCTGTTGACTCACTGACTCAATGGACATGAGTTTGAGCAAACTCCCGGAAATAGTGAAGGACAGGGAAGCCTGACATGCTGCAGCCCACAGGGTCGCAAAGAGTCGGACACAACTTAGAGACTGAACAATTCCTGTGATGGCAGAAATCAATAAGACTCTAAAGAAATTATCCTTCATTAAAAAAATTTTTTTAATATGGGAGATATACATTAAAAAGAGAAAAGAAAGCTTCTAAGCACAGACTCCTAACACTGGCTATGGACCCAACCTGGATTGTATTCTCCGGGCTGACACAGAAAGCACTAGTAAGACTAAGCACATTTGAGGCCAGTCCTGCCTGGTCATGGTAGCAGCTCTGTCCCCAGGGTGGATGTGACACTCTCTCCCACGTGGATGCCATTAAAAAGCAACAGGATCACAAAACTTTCCAGCTGTGACTCCTGAGCTACCCATACAACTTCTCGTTATAACCAGCCGCCCACAGAGCTTGCCTACAAGAAAGACCCAGCCAGTGAAAGGAGGCGGGTGTCCAGGCTCCCTGGCCATGAGTCTCTTATTTCAGAGGAATAAACTGGTATCTATTTTGATTTAAAGGATACAGTCAAAGCTCCAAGAGACTAACAAGAAAGCCTTTCTCCCTGCCTGCTTGGATCAGACTGGTACTCACCAAAAACACTGCCTGGCACAGCTCCTCTCTTATTTAGGAATACAGAATGAATAAAAAAAAAAAAAAAACTAACAAAGCAGCAGCAGCAGCCACGGCTTATGCTTCTAACAGAAAGTCCTCCCCCTGTTCTAATTCCCACAGTGGGCAACTTTCAGCCTCTGCTTACAGAGCATTTAGGGGACCCCCTTGGAAGCCCGCGGTGATGGATGTCGAAGATCCCCTGGGTAGGGAGAAGCTAGGCACAGCTGTGGGGCAACTTGAGAGCATCAGCGCCCTCCACCACCGCCCGCGGCCCGCACTTGCCTGCGGGGCTGAGAGAGACCTCTAGTCGCCAGGCGAGCGGGGGCGGGAGCGGCCGCTCCAGAGCCTTCCTCCAACCCTGGGGCTGAGACGCTCTGTCGCCTCGGCAGCGTTGTGCCCTACTTAGCACGATCTGATTCCGCTCAGGAGCCTCCGGGCAATATTTTTAGCCCTGGTAGGCTGGGTCCAGGCCACAGAAGGTGGAGAGCTGGGGAGAGAAAGTGGGATTACCGAGAGGGGCCGGCACCTGCCGCCGGGTCTTCGGCCACTGGCCGGCCAGCCCGCCTGCCGCCCGCAGCCCCCTCTCGGCGCTCCCAGCCCACGGCGCTCCGAGGCTCTGCCGGGCGCAGGACCGTAAGGGCCACTGTCCGGTGAGGAGGCCGGAGCCACCTCCGACGCCGGAGCCACCTCCGACTCCGAAGCACCATCACCGTATGCGCTCCTGACGCCCACGGCCGACTTCGGCCGGGGCCGCCGCCGGAGCCCCGTCCGCGCCCGCCCAGCGTGTTACCGTCCGCGGCGGGCCTCCGCGCCTCCCTGGGCCCCGCCGGCCGCGCTGCGCGCCCTCACACCCCAGGAGCCAGCGGCCCGCGCGGAAGCAGCGACGCAGGCGAAGGCGGGCGTCTGCCCTCCGGTCGTTCCCAGAGGGGCCCGACCGCCCGGGCGCCGGGCTTCCCCTCTCACGGCCGCCGGGCCGAGCGGCGTGCGGGGCGGGGACAGCCTCGCCGCGCCCCCGCGCCGCCCCGGCCCCGCCGCCGCCTGTGGTGCGCCCCGCCGAGCCCGGCCAGTCGGGCCACGCGCGGTCCTCGCTCGGCTCCCGCCGGCCGGCCCGGACGCTTCCGGTGCGGTCTACGCCGTGACCCCCGGCGCCGGCAGAGGGTCCGCAGTGCGCAGCCGCAGCCCGGACCCCGGCCTCGGCGCGCCGCGGAGCCGCGAGGACGGGCGCGTGACTTGATGTTTTCTGACTCTTCCTAGATGTCAGCACCTGAACTACCAGTAGCAGAAACAGTCCTCCTCCATTTCACCAATCGAAGGGTGGAGTGCGTTTTCCGGCCCCCTCTCAGCTCTGGTGTAGGTATCCTTCTCTTGATGCAATTACGCTCCTCGGACAAAGGAGTGCTGCCTCCTGGTGGTACCATGCGTTAATGACAATTCCCTCTCTGAGTTTGCAATTAACGAATAAGACACATACATTTCTCGCTTGTCCTTTTACTGGACATCAGGGTTTCTAATTTTGCAGCATACTAAACCACACCAGTGAACATCTCTACTTGTTTTCTTTTAAAAGTATTACCTTGGGACGTGCCTGGTGGTCCAGGGGTTAAAAATCTTCCAGGGCAGAGGACTCAGGTTCGATCCCTGGCTGGGAAAATAAGATTCCACATGTCATAGGGCAACTACTGAGCCCACGAACCACAACTAAGACCTAGTGCAGCCAAAACTAAATAAATATTTTAAAAAATTAGAATTATTACCTTAGGACAAATTTGCAGCTGTGAGGTTACCTGCTCAAAAGATTAGGACTGATAAGACTGATGATACTTGGCATTCTATTGCTCCCCAAAAGAGTTGTGCCAGCTTCCACCATCAATTACAAACTAGAAAATTGCTTAAGCAACTTTTTTGTTGATTAGCCAGATTGTCAAACCCACTTCATTGTTTTAACTCCCATTTCATTTATTACCATCAGAAACATTTTTCTAGGTTTATTTGCTAACTAACATGCCTGTTACTAAAGTGTTAGAGGTAGTCTGGGTTCATCATCCTCCGTGTTTATCCTGTGTTTCTGTGCTTTGTCCTTGTGGTCTGGGAAATTTATCTTCCAACCTGTCTACTGAATTGTTCATTTTGGCAATCATAAGCTTAGTTACAAGAGCTCTTATTGGTTCTCTGGTAAGTCTTTTTTTTTTTTTTAAACTGAGACACAACAAAGTATGTGGCTCAAGTCTTAAGTATACTGTTTGATGAGTTTAAAACTCAGGTATAAATGAATATACAGGTTTAATCATCACTCAGATCAAAACACAGAACTTTCTCATCACTCCCAAAGGTTCCCCTCTATCAAGAGGTCAAGGACTTCCCTGGAGGTCCAGTGATTAAAAAGCTGCCTGCCAATGCAGGGGACATGGATTCGGTCCCTGGTTCTGGAGGATTCTGCAGAGCACATGCTGCAGGGCAACTAAGCCTGTGTGCCACAACTACTGAACCCATAAGCTGCAACTAATGAAGCCCAAAGGACCCGAAGCCTGTGTTTGGCAACAAGAGAGTAGGCCCTGCTTGCCACAGCTAGAGAAATCCCAAGTGCCGCAACCAAGACCCAGAGCAGCCAAAAATAAATAAATAATTTTTTTGAAAGGTCAAACATTCCCTAAGAGCAGCATGGTAGCTAACAGGGCTGCAAATCATTGTGCACAAATCTCTGCAGACACCTAGCAAGATGTGTCTACCATACTTCCATGAGATCCAGCTAGTAAGGAGAAGATAAGCCCCAATGGATCCAGACTGCTATTACCCACACAGACAGCAAAAGCATGGCCAGCCTGGTCCCAGCTTTCCCCAGCCACAGGATGACACTGAACTGGAAGGACCAGATGACAGGGAGCTTGATGGTAGGTGTCTCTGCAGCTGAGAAGCCAACTATTAATAACTCAGCTGCTATCAGACAACTTTATGACCTGCCGCTACACTCTAAGTTGGGGGAGAAGGGTGGGGCAAGGTAGAGAGGCCTACCCTTCACTGAAACTAGGCAAAGGGATAAGAAATGGCTTTGTGGAATCTCCCAGAAGAAGGTGGCTCTTCACCAGGCTGCTTCTCTCCCCCTGTTCAGGAGGAATCATAGTGTGTTCTGACAAGACTCAAATTGGACAGTGATCAAGCCTTGCCTCCCGTGGCAAAGTCATCAGGGCAATGTATCAGAGCCGTTTCTAAACAGTCTACCTTCCACCACCCTGACCTTTCATGTATCCAGCAAAGAATTCTTTTCAGGAGCATCAGTCACCCCAAGAGGTAGTCCGATTCATTGCACTGGTGGGAGCTTGCACCAATAGGCACTTGCTGCCTGTCTATCTTAGGCAACATAAGTTGAGAGTGACCACAGCTATGTGTCCCAGCAGGATGATCAGACCCACTTGCGGATTAGACCACAGCCAGGCTCCTTATCTGTAGCCAAACCACAGTATCCCAGATGCTACTGGGGATCAACCTTAGACCCTCCCTGTTTGTGAGGGTCTCTCTCAAGAGAGAGAGTTAGGACTTCCCTGGTGGTCCAGTGGTTAAGAGTCTGCCTGCCAGTGCAGGGGGCACTCATTGCATCCCTGGTCTGGGAAGATTCCACATGCCGCAGGGCAACTAAGCCTGGGCACCATAACTATTGAAGCCTGCACATCCCAGAGCCCATGTTCTGCAGCAGGAAAAGCCACCACATCTTCCTGCCTTGGGGTAGGTTTTGTGCTATCCTGTCTAGGGCAGTTTGAACTAGCTTGTTTTTCTAATTAGGATGTCATCGATAGAATAATACCAAGGTACTTCTAATGGGATTCCAGGCTACTCCATATTTTGGTGTATCCACTGGTGGCAAATCACAGGGGAATTCAGGTAGACCTGTGACAGCACTGAAAAGGTGTATTATAACCCAAGCCAATAAAGACAAGCTGATTTCCATTCTTTGGGTATAATGGAATGTTTAAAAAGACATTAGCCAGGTCTGTCCTCTCAGAGCCCAATAACGAGAGAGAGTTTTCAGAGGTCCTGGTGGTCCAGGGGTTGAGAATCTGCCTTGCAATACATGGCTC